TTGTAAACAAACAAATGGCCTGATGTTGACGTACCATTATTTCTAGCATCAGAAAAAAAAAATTAATGAAGCTTTCGTTTCCTATTTTGTCCATGAGTTCACCTATATGATCAAAATCCACTGTTTTCGATATGTTATAAATATACGTGGTTATTCACAGTGAGTATCTTCTCACCTTCCTTGAGATCCTAAATGCGCGATCATGTATATGTTTACATTGTGCTTCCTATTGGGATTGTTCCGCCACTTTTAAGTAAGCAAATCTGAGTTATTATAAGTTATTGTCCTTTGAACCCTTGTGCTGTCTTAGAATCATATATGTGGTGAATGTGTGTGAGCGTTAACGTTGATTCATGTGCAGTGGCGGATCCAAGGGGGGGCGGTGGGGGCGATCGCCCCCCCCCCCCCCAAACGCCTCGCCATTTTTTTTTCTTTTTTTAGGATAGTGTAATGGTGGCATAAATACAACACTCTAAAAGATGTTTACTTGCGGAATTTGTAGTTTCTGTTCAAGCACGTTTGATGGTTGTGCAATCCGATGAGCACGTTTTCAGCTCTCGAATTCTTCAGTGTGTGGACGAAGGATGCTGTCGCCAGTTTGTTACGTATGATGCTCTCAGGTGTCATATTTTGAGAAGACATAGGCATTGGTACGCCTAAGGGAAGTTTGGTTTGTTTCGAGGAGTTTGGAAAGCTTTCAGTGCACTTTGCCACCATGCCTAGAGGAGTGCCACACAAGGGAGGCTTTGCTAAAACATCTAAAAGGCCACATCACCGACAGTATTTTGTTTTCGTGTTCGTGCTCCAACTGTCAGAAGGTGTGAAATCATAGTTCGATCACGGCACATTTGAACTGGGCGCATTTACGAGTGACGGGTTTCTTGGGCGACGGCGCATAGCCTGTAGACCCGCTTCAGGTTGAGGACTCTTCGACTCGGTCGACTAGTGCGGATTCTAATGAAGACGGTGCTGTTAACGTGATGCAATCCCCTAATGATAACTACGACGTGTTAATGTCTCTGTCTGCAGGAGAAAAAAGGAAGGCCTTAAAATACGACCTTGTTTTTTTTTTTTTTTTTTTTTTTTTTTTTTTGTACTTGAAGTTTAACGGAAGGCTTCTTATGCCGGTATCAACAGTTCAAAAAACCATTTATGAATTTCAACGTCGGGCATTTCTTGTACAAACAATACATGTTCGGCCAACTTGCTGAAAGCCTTCAAAACGTGCTTGGTTCAGTCGAGGTTCATAACGTCATTGAGTTCATAACATCACTATACAATGATGTTATGAACCTGAATACTACCACCTTTCTCGCCGTTTAAATTGCACCGTAAAAATAACGGCGCGCTGTAAATTTTTTTTTTTTACCGCAAATTTGAAGGCCGATTGTAGATTTCTACGGTCACCGTTTAAATTTATCGTAAACCAGATTTACAGTGCACCGTTATTTTTATTGTACAAGTTTGGCAGCATCAGCTGCCTGGTATTTGACCGCAAATTTTACGGTCAAATTTACAGTCAGGACGCTACAGTGTAGCGTCCTGACTGGAGCCCCATACGAGCAGGCACGTGTGGCGTGCACGTGAATATAGATTTGGTAGGCTTGCAATTGCACGTGATTTTCCGCACGAGCAGAGACATTGCGTTGGCCAGATGCCCAGCTTTCTGAGGCTATGCAGTCAAAAGTACGGGAGCGTGTGCCTTGGTGTGCATAGCCACAGAAAGTTCAAAGAGTTCATCCCCTACAGGTAAGCCGATACAAAAGCTCTCAAGATCTATATTATGTTATCAGAGTTTAGTAAAAACGATGACTCCATAAAAATTTAAACACTCCCCCCCCCCCCCCCCCCCCCCCCCGTTTTACGCCGAGGAACCGCCCCCCCCCCCCCCCCCCCCCCCAAAAAATGGAGGTCTGGATCCGCCCCTGTTCATGTGCCCATATAACTTCCACCCATGTAGCCGGCACACCTACGGCAAAAATAGTCAAAACGTCACCGCAGATTAACTTCATAAATTGTGAACATAATAATGTAATGCAATTACATGGTAAATGTATAAGTGTCGGACGGCACTTTAGGGAGTGAGGTGAGAAACGCGGTGAAACGCGCCAAAAGAAACGAATTCAACGCATCTGCCAAGACGCCGAGTAGCGCGGAGGGGAGAGCGGAGCGACGAATTGAAGCAACCTAATGGCGGCCGCATCACGTGACTCCAAGATGGCAGCGCCCATGTGGCTGAGGGTGAAAAGGTCTATATATTTGTAAGCTGCATTTAAGATGCATATTTTCGTAAATTGTCTATATATATATATATATATATATATATATATATATATATATATATATATATCAGTGTGTCGAACCGAAAAAAATACGGGTTCGGTTACGGTTCAGGTTCAGGTAAATTTATTTTGTTCCGGTTCAGTTCCGGTTCGATTAATTCAATCCGCGAACCGGTTCGGAAATTATAAATGACAAATTGCAACATCAAAATAAATTACAAATAAAACATCTGAAATCAGCACATACGAAACGGGATACATCGTAGTGTAAGGCTCAGGGATTTCTACCAGGAATGGCTCCTTTATGTGCACTCAAAGGTTACCTCACCGACGTTTACGCATTCGGACTTCATCTAATTGGGTCCGACGCAGTAGCTGTAAAATCCGCGACCTCCTCACAAACCCACTTACAAGTAGAACTCGCTAACTATCCCGCCACCTCAGCGTGTAAGCAACTGAAGGAACAGTGGGGAGAAAATACAGCTTTCTTTATTTGAACTAGCCTTCGGTAACTCAAATGAGACCCTTAAAGAAGTTTTCATTAAACAACATACGGAATATGAAAAACACTTCACCGAACGCAACGCCAGAAGGACGTAATAGGATAAATATTAAAATAGAAGCGTTCGCTGTCTCACAAATATGTTAGCTTCTAAGTGCCTATACGAAACCGGATGCATTATTATCAAACTCCACAGCCTTTTCTTTTCTCATTCCGATGGAAGCAAGCTTCAAGAAGTCGCGCGTTCTAGAAACGTGTTATGAAATGAGCACACAGCAGCATTTAGGATTTACGAGATTGTAGGAAAATAAAATCCCGTGTCGCGATTTTTTTTTTTTTTTTTTTTTTTTGCAGCTTTTCAATTTTCTTTTTTCCGTGCAAGCCGCGACCAGCGCAATACTGGTTCCTATGCCAAGATTCATGGATGCAGCGTTTGTCAAGATTTATGGATGCAGCGTTTATATTCCTAAGACTGAGTGGAGAAGAAAAATATGTAAGCGAGGTGTGTGTCAGTTGACGGCACTCAAAAAACAAATGGCATTGATAGCACATTCATTGTCAACAGCGCGTGGCCGAACCGTTTTGACATGAGCCGGTAACCGTTATTTTTTTTCCGGTTCAGTTCCGGTTCGGGTTCATCGCGATAACAATATAACGGTTCGGGTTCGGGTTCAGTTCCGGAAAAAATACCGGTTCGGTTCAGGTTTTCGGTTCGGTTCCGGTGCGGCACCCTGATATATATATATATATATACCGGGTGTTTTTGCGAAGACTTTCAAAAATCCTAAAAATTAGGGCGATTGAAAAAAGAAGAAACTCTCTTCGGGAACAAACTACCAGCCACGGCGGACGTCAGGAATTGCCAAAAACCTACTAATTAGCCAGATAATTAATTAAAACTTGTTAATTAGCTTTTTAATTAGTGGAAATGGACATATGATTCTAATCAGAAAGTTGCTGAGCGTTATCGAAAACCACTAAATCAGTCATTTTCAGGAAGACTTTAAGCGCTTGAGAAGAGTAGTAGCGCACTAAAATGACCACTCGTGGAGCAGGTACAAGGCTGGGGCTAGATAAGAGGCGGAAAAATCGCGCGGGCGCCTTACCGCAACCGCTAGCCTTGTACCTGCTCCCAGAGTGGTAACTTCAGTGCACTACTACTCGTCTCACGCGCTCAAAGTCTAACTGAAAATGACTGATTTAGTGGTTCTCGATAACGCTCAGCAACTTTCTAATTGGAACCATATGTCTATTTCCCCTAATTAAAAAGTTAATTAACAAGTTTTAATTAATTATCTGGCTAATTAGTAGGTTTTTGGCAATTCCTGACGTCCGCCGTGGCTGGTAGTTTGTTCCCAAAGAAAGTGTCTTCTTTTTTCAATCGCCCTAATTTTTACGATTTTTGAAAGTCTTCGCAAAAATACCCGGTATATATATATATTAGTTATGTACGTGCTTGTTTTGGTGCGACATTGGCGGCTGTGCAAGCTACCATAGTGAAATCTCGACAATGGCCACGTCTCGAGCTGCTCAATTTTTTTGTATACAGTATGCAGTATCTGGGAAACATTTAGCTAAGGAGGTTCACATATAGCTGAATGTACCTCCCAAGAACATGGCTTTCAGATATATTTCTTACACAACTATAAAAAGTATGACCCGGAAAGTAATTGTATGATTTGATGTGGAAACACTTTGCTGAAAAAAGCCTGAAGCATGCAGAGTAACACATACAATTAAAATTTTTATCACACCGTTTTATTAAAAATTTGGGACGCTTACATTAGCTATTCACTGCTTCTTGAGTTGCTGCAGAACTTGTTCTCCTTTTGTTGGTTTCCAAAAGTAATGGTAGTTTGGAAGTACCTTTGTCAGGAAGTCCAGCTGAAGTGTCTGGGTCTAGAAATAAATTACAGATAGAGACTGTAGACAACATAATACTTTAGTCACAAAATCGTAAGTGCGAGCCATAATCAAATTCCGGGAATACAGAAAAACAGCCCAGTACACTTTACTACTTCAGCTTGAGTCTTATGCTCTAGTTTCATAAAGTGTATCACTGACGAGTGATAACCTCAGTGACATTGTTGAGGAATTGAAGATCACTTTTTCATTTAAGAAACAAATATTTTTACATGCAGGAACAAAACAATGGAACATGACACAAAGGTCAAAGCAGACTACTAACAAACTGCAGCAAGGAAATATATCACTCTTCTCACAATTTTTCCAAACTCTTCTCAATCTCTTATTTAACACAACATTAAGTTCAAGGATCTAAATCTCTCTTATCAAACTCTCCTCAAGGAAGTTCTTATGAACGGTACTTCATGCTCCAAAAATGTAACTTCATCAGAATCAACACCTCAGATTCATTCCTAAAAAACCAACTCCCTGCAGATACAATCAAACCCCTCACTCCCCTGAAACCAGTGTCGGTGGTAACACGTTACAAGTAACGCCGTCAACAGTAATGCGTTACTTTTTTCGGTAATGTAGTAACATACTCATTACAATTTTAAAACAGTAACCGATTACACACTTACGTTACTTATTTAGAGTAACGGGTAATGTATGTTGTAAACTTATAACAAAGAATCCCGGATTCGGGGCGAACACCACAGTGGGGGAGAAGAGCATCCTTCCACACGGTGGCTTCTATCACGCCATGACCCTCCCTGTCAGTCGGACTGGTTTAAACGAGGCACAGCGACATCTCAAATGACTGCCTCTGGCAGTGGAAGTCCTCGTCTCTCTCGAAGAGTGAGGCAAAGGGAAAAAGTACAAAGAGGAGACGGCCGAACGCAAATGAAAATGAGCCTATGCGCACGGCTTTTTTACTATTGAACGGAAGTTGTTTGCAGTGGAGGTAACAAAAGTGCAGTTGTCGTTGTACAAAATGGAACGCCTCATATGCCAGCAAGAGACAACAATTGCAACAGAAAAATTGCTATGGAAACACGAGATTACAGCACTGTGGAAAATTCGAATACCAATAGAGAATTGAGTGACTCTTCCTTCTACTAGAACGACAGCAAGGAAGTTCACAAGAAAAAGTGCAAGACGATTCACTCACAAGTGACATGGCTTGTGAACGACGTTGAGGGGTCGCTACAGTCAGTGCTATCCAACGGCGAGGACCTAGAGCTACTCATCGAATGACTGGTCCTGGCTTAGGGTCAACTTAACGCCGTCAACGCCACCATCGAGCCACTCATTTCAGAGCAAGACAGAGACGCCAAACTCACCCACGTCATTGAATATGCAGACAAGATCGTGACCTACCTGACAAAGCTGAAGAGCCAGCTAAGACGCTGCACAGGATGAGGCAACCCATTCAATGAGAATAACCTGATCCGGAGCACAAACAGATCGCTAACGCCAGCAAATGCAAGAATTAAACTCCCAAAACTTGAACTTCTGAAATTCAATGGTCAATGGAAGAACTCGCAGCCGTTTTAGGAACCGTTCGATCCCGCCATCAATCTTAACTCTGACCTTTTGCCGGCAGAAAGGTTCAACTACCTGCAATCAGCGTTAAGTGGTGATGGAGCAGCTGCCATTGCTGGCCTACAGCCCACCGCATGGTAATACTCCGACAACCTGGACCTCCTGCGGAAGAGGTTCAGAAGCCAGGAAGCACTCATCGAAGACTACATGGAGAGGCTGATGGATATTCCTCATGTGTCGTCGCCACGCAACACCAAAGGCCTGAGGAGTTTGCACTACAACCTACAAGATCGCATTCGAGGACTTAGGGCATTGGGGGTGAGTGTGGACTTCTCCTCTGCAATGCTCTGCCCGATCCTACGTCGTGCTCTCCCTGACGACATGCTTCTAAAGTAAAACCGAAAGATGGCTGCGGTGGACATGAAGAACGGCGCCAGCCAAGGTACATCAACCGATGCCAGTTCTGAGGCATCAGGGCAGTCTGCTCACCTCAAGGGGCTGCAATCTCTCCTGAGCTTCCTCCAAGTAGAGGTAAAGAGCCTGGAGATGTCCAGCAACGATCAACGAAACGACATCGGTGGTAAATACACAAATCGTTCTCCACCAATGCATGATCAGCCGAAGAGGCCCCAAAACTACACCAAGCCTCATCAGTCAACGGTAGCCGCACTGCAAGGCACAGCCAAAGACTCAAAATGTTTTCTGTGCAAATCCAAGACGCATGGCATTCCAGACTGCAACACCAAGATAGAGCTGTCTGAGAAGCACAGGTTGCAGGCGAACCAACCGTGCTTTTGCTGCACCAAGACTAACCACACCGCTAGAATGTGCCGAGGTACACCGTGTTGCACCAGGTGTCGGGGACGGCATGCATCCACAATGTGCGATCTGGATTACGTACCGGGACGACCTTTCGCGGCAAACGAAACGCAAAAGAAAGATAAAACACCGGACAGTCTTCACGCAAGGGGAAAGAACAGCAAGCTGGCAGTGTTCTTGCAAATGGTGACCACATGGGATGAGAACGAGAACAAAAGAAGACTAGGCCAAATCCTTTTTTAAGCGGCAGTCAATGCTCCTTCATTATGGAGGAGCTATCCCAGAGACTCAGTTGCGAACTGCTCGGGACGGAAATCCTCACAATTGGTTTGTTCGGAGGCAAAAAGACTGAGCGTGCGTCTTGCAGAGTGCAGGTGACAGAGCGGGACCAACAGTACAACAAAAGATGAGATCGCCGCACTTAAAACACCTACCATCTGCAAACAAGATATCTCGAGCCTAGATGAAGCCATCATTGCGACGTTAAAGGAGATTGGCTTCCCCGTAGGAGACGACATGATGGGACTGGAACATTGTGCTGTCAACGTCATGCTTGGGTCGGATTGCTATTGGGGGTGCGTCACTGGAAAGATTCACCAACTAAGAGAAAGCTTGACCGCAGTGGAGACCGTATTCGGATGGGCGGTTCAGGGAGAAACAGTGTCGAGCTCCGCGGTCGTTAGTTATTCCCATATGGTTGTGCTGAGAATGGCAGTGAAAGAGCCAGAGCCCATGCAAGGCCTCAAGCAATTCCAGGAACTTGAGAGCATGGCTGTCACCAACATATCGGTGGACAATCCTTGGGATACGACATCAAGCGAGACTTTGAGGCCACGATCACCAAGACCGATGGGAAGTATGAAGTCGGCCTTCTGTGGACGACAGACATCAGGTTGGCAGACAACAAGGTGCTTGCTCAAAGGCCACAGGGAAATTGCCAAGGCACAATGTGACACTACTGCCCAGGGAAGGAGAGTCCCGCCGACCTCATGACGCGATGTCTGACTGCATCTCGATTGGTTTCCACTCCACTCTGGTGGTCAGGGCCCAGTTGGTTGCCACTGCCAGCAAAAGAATGGCCCCAGGAACATCGCGGAGAGCACCTTAGGACCTTCTGCGGAGCTGACCGATGTTTTGAGATTCAGCTTGTCTTCGAGGCTTAACCGAACAACAGCCTAGATCTTTTGCTTCCTGCACAACGGGAAATCGCTTGGGACCACTGACAGCCGAGGAGATCCAGCTATTGCAAACGCATTGGCTAAAGAAGGTGCAGCACTCGGCGTTCACCACTGAGCTGCGATGCGCGGCCAATGCCACCAAGACCCCACCTGGTTCTTCCCTTCATCGACCAGGAGGGAGTGCTTTAAATCAGTAGTCTCCTCCAATCCATCAACAAGACGCATGATGTACGAGGCCTGATCATCCTGCCCAAGCAATGTCGATACTTAATGCTGCTGGCAATGAACACTCACCAACAACTGCTACATGTGGGACTCGGAGATACGCTTGTGCAACTCTGTAAGAAATATTGGATACTGCAAATACGAGAGCTGGTGAAGAAAGAGGTGCGTGCTTGTGTGACATGGCAGTGATTCAACGTAACCCCCGCGAGTGTCACCATGGGACCTTTGCCGAACTCCCGAACAACAAGAGCGGATCCTTTCGAAGTAGTCAGCACAGACTTTGCAGGCCCCCTCTATGTCAAGGGCAAGGACCTCACATGCAAGTCCTATGTGGTGCTGTCCATGTGTGCAGTCACATGGGCCGACCACCTGAAGTTGGCTCCGGCTGGACCTCTCGACCCGGAGGTTTCTCTTTGCCTTTCGCAGATTTGTGTTGCATCGAGGACTGAGCCGTTTAATTTATTCCAACAATGCCTTGACCTTTAAACATGCGTCGAAGAAACTCGCAAAACTGTGGAGGACGTTGTGCCACCCAGGCATGGTCAACCACTTTGTGAACATGGGTATACGGTGGCGTTTTATTGTCGAGCAAGCCCCATGGTGGGGAGGGTTTAATGAGTGGCTCGCGCGTTCGATGAAAGAGTCTTAAAAAAAAATGGTCGGGAAGAAATGTCGGATACAGGGGAATTGGCCACTGTTCTGATCGAAGTTGAAGCAGTGGCCAATTCGCGGCCATTGAGGTGTGAGCACGACGGGGTAGGAGACGGGTGATCTGCTTACGCCGACCAGTTTTCTCGTTGGCAGGCAGCTGACGGTGCTTCCGCCGGTGGGTAGGGAGATGCTCGCTTCGATCCCACAGGCACTTCGCGTCCTCTAGCAGTAGTGAAAGCAACTGCTAAACCGATTTTGGGGGACATGAAGGGCAGAGTGCCTTAGAGAACTGAGATCTGCACACACCACTCAGAACAGGCAGCCTACACCACTCAGAGGGGGTTAACTGGTTCTGTTAAAAGAGCTGCATCCACGCCTGCTCTGGGAGCTCGGCAGAGTGGAAAGAGTGTTCCACAGGCGAGGTTCTCAGATCCGCTCAAATGAAACCAGAGTGCGTCGCAGCACCATTTTACGAAGGCTAGTACAGCTTGTGTACCATTTGGAATTACCGAGAGTATGAAATGGACTCGCATCCATTCAATGGGTAGTGTGCTGTAAACTTTTAACAGAAAATCCCAGATTTGGAACGAACACCACCGTGGGGGAGAAGAGCATCCTTCTGCACGATGGCTTCTATCATGCCGTGACCCTCCTTGTCAGTAGGGAGGCATGGCGACATTTCAAACAGTTGCCTCTGGTGATGGAGGTCTTCGTCACCCTCGAAGAGAAAGGCAAAGGTAAAAAGGACAAAAGGAGATGGCAGAACGCAAACGAAAACGAGCCTACGCGCACGGCTTTTTGACTATTAAACGAAAGTTGTCGCAGTGGAGATAATAAAAGTGTTGTTGTTCTCAACGAAACATCTCATGTGCCAGCAAGAGACAACAGTTGCAACAATGTAGTTATACATGTGACTGAAACCTCAGACTGTGGTTTGAAAAGCGGAAACTCATTTCGTGAGGGAGGGGAAAAAGGGACAGACAATGTCTCAAACCACAGTCTCAGGTTTCAATCATCATGTACAACTTACACCAGCTCACCTGCACTTTAACCATCTTTTCAATGTAGTTATGTTACATCTTTCCAAGACTCCGTGTTCCTAAACACCAAATCATACGAATTCTTACACTCATCCCACATACCTTCAATACTTTGCCTCTCTTTTCCCCACAAACACTCCTGCTCTGGAAAAACCCAATTGACCAAGCCCTCTGTCTGAGTGTTGAAAAATGCTCGTCGTCAATGGCAGTCAGCGTAGACAGACACCATCAAAGGTCAATTTTTAGTCTCCCGGGATGAAAATGTTTTTCTTTTCTCCCGGGAGACTAAAAATTTGTCTTCTGTCAAGTTGTGTTTGTCTAGACTTGAGCGAATAAGTCGTACATCAGCTTCACATATATGTCTGCGTTTTTGTTGTGAGCATTTAGGTGGAAAAGTGAAGAAGATAAGGTAATTATGACAAGTTTCTGCATGGACATAACATTTCTTGAGATATGGCGCTTATGAGTAGCTCTAACAACAAAACAGTAGAATTTTATAATTCATAAAAAGAAGGTCATGCAAAAGTAACAGGCATCACTTTTTATCGGCAATGATAACAGTAATGTATTCCTTTTATTTTCGAGCAACATTTATTGGTAATAACACAATGCAAAGTTGCAAGCGAGCTGGGCCAGAATGATGAAAAGAATTGGTAGAGTGCTTCACTGGAAATGGAGAGCTTCCTGGTTCGATACCAGGACCGGGCGAATTTTTTCGTTCGTGCACCAGTCGCCTAGTTGTGTGGATATTTGTGTTCGTCCTATGTCCCCCTTGTTCCCCTTCTCCAGGGATTATTTTCATCATACATTGGCACTTTTTTTCGTTAATACCTACAACACTGCCTGAAACCTACCAACCTTTGTCTTTTACTCCCTCTCTGTGTTGCTCCCAAGGACACCTTCAGATGAGTCACAGTCACGTCTCACCCACTCCTTTCCATTTTTTAAAACTCATGAATGCCTTTTGCAGTTACCCACAACTCCAGACAACTTTTCTTAACTGCAACCCTGATCTCCCTGTGGGACTTTTTGTCAACATTTATTTCTTCTTCCAACATGTGTTATATCACTTTACCTATTTCATGACACATGTCATTCATCAACTCAGGAAGGGCACCAAAACAAGTAGTGTGTAATGTACAACTACTGTAAAATACCCGGGGGAGCACCCACTCCTCTTTCGTTAAAAACTGAGTTAATCTAGACATGGGCGCTTGTCCGGTCACACTGGGCACTTAACACATAATTTGCAGAATTCCAAAGTTTAGGAAATGTTAATAGTGGGCGCCTGAACGGTGGGTGCTTCCCCGGTACTTTACAGTATGTTCGCAAGAGCAGATATCATATGTAATATGCATAAAGAAATGACAAAAAAAAAAAAAACTTTCAGCCTTTCCACTCTGGTGAAGAAGGAAGAGCAGCGGAGCTGTACTATGTGCCACCATCTATGAGCGACGGCAGACACCAGACAATCGACAAGCCGGTTGTCTGGTTGCGGACATCGCTCATAGATGGTGGTAGCTGTCCAGAGGTTGCGTCGAGATTTATTTGTCCACGGACACGAAACTGGGGAAGCTAGCCTTCAACAGCTCTGCTGTAAAAATTAGAGTATCTAAGGCGAAATGCTATTTGGCAGAACAACAGTTTTGTTACCCAATGAACATGGCCTTCATTGTCATTGTGCCATTAGAACCTTGATAATTATTGTGTAATCACATGTAGACCAAGCCCGACAAGAAGACACGAGTTCTTACCGCTGGTTTTTCATTCTGTATCCTACGTTCGCAGGAACGGCCATAGACGACGGTGTTTTCCTTCATTTTTTCATTGGTGTAGACCTCACACATGGCCCCAATGACACATCCACTTGTAAGCTCAGTGTTCCTGCCCAGCTTGCCTGTAAGCAATGCAAAAGAAAATATATTGTTTCCCTTTTTAGGTCACATATGCAAAAATGAAATAAAGTGGAACTCCTAGTTAAAGAGAATTCCCAAAAACGAAATGGTGGCATTACGCTGGCTATATACTTATGTAGTATCAAACAACACTGGAGTGCAGCACCGCAGGTCACAAGAAAAGGTTCACATCTTGACAGAAATGCAGAATATCCCACATAACCAGAAGAAATATATCTAGAGTAAGCTTAGCATGGACTTCTCAACCTAGAAATAATTGCTCCCATGGAACTCGGACCATGAAGAAATCAAGAAGAAAAAAAAAAACAGATGGTGTTATCGCCAACTACAATCTTTTTTTACATAATGAAGCCCGATTCAAAGAATCCTTTAAAAAGTAACGGTAAACTGTATTTTTTTAGCCAAGTGACCCAACAGCCTCTGCATATCGACAAACCAACAATAAAAGACGTCTGGGTGTATGGTACATAAAATTATACGTCGGACATCTAAGACCCATGTGGTTCTCAGTTAACGGGCACAACTTTTTCTAGCCATCTCAGTCTGGGCAGACTTATGGGCCAGGCCTGGGAGGGGATGCAATGCTGTCACCACATCAATGATTTTATTTTAAAAAAAGTTGACCTTGGCAAGCTTAGAGGGGGGAGGGGGGCCACCCCACGCCTTTTCACCCCTAATCTTATTGGGTAAGAATACTGCGCAATTATAATTTGTTTTTACCTCTCAAATCACATCTTTTCAAATGTAGTATAATGTGCGTAAGTTTGAGCTAAAACTTATGCGACCTAGCAAAAAAATATTCAATCAAAAGTTTACACAAAAAATAAAGTTTAAAACGAATCAAGTTAGTTTTATTATATAGTTTCAAGTTAGCCTTTGTTTCGACAGTGAGTGTACCTATCTTGGAAACTTGGGCCACTTAACACAAAGCGAGTCAGTTATGTCAAGTTTAGAATATACATAGGCCTTCATAGGTTTCTGTTGCACATTATGACAAATTAATTTATTCTCTACTTGCTCGCTCCAGAAACAACATGATGGGCTCGAAAGCGCTGCAAGAGTTCATGCTCGATGCATGGCACTCACTTGCATCCAAACAGAAGTGTGGATACAGATCCAAGTGGCGTCGCATTATGTGCGAGGAGGAGGAGGAGCAAAAAAGGAGAGAGGAGGATAAGAGAGAGAGAGGAGAAGAAAACACGTCGGGTGGGTGGGGCAAACTGTTTTGCTCACAATGGTTTTTAGGGATGGGGACGGGGCCCCAGACCCTCCTCAGATGGCGATCAGGAGCCGCCGGGAGCCCCTGGAGAATGGTTTTCGAGGATGGGGATAGAGCAATAAGCATGTGCTCTACACATAGGGCCTATTCCTCAGGTTTTTAAGCGCTCGCTACATTCATGGTTTTGATTTCGTATAGCCACTTTCTTAGCATATTAAATTTGGGTTGTTTGCTATTTTATTTCACAGTCTGAATTATAGTTTTTTGGGATTAGGTTAATCCTGGGTAAAAATTTATTTCACAAACTTATTTAAAAAGGGCTGTTCCTATTTCGTTTATAAACTGCCACAGTGCGCTGAGGCAAAGGTATTAATAGCGAGTTCGTTTCACACGCACTGGCACCGTTCGAGTTCTCTCCCAGAATGCATCACACTCGCGGAGTGTCGCACGGAGAACTGGACTCAAACGAACTCGCCAAATGCACCGAGTGCAGAAGACTGATGCTGCCGCCATCTATGTTGTAGAAAATGTACCGACCTCAAAACAAAACTAGCGCCTTTCTGTTCGGAGTGATGGGTGGGAATGCGAGAGTGCAGTCACTACCAACGTTTATCTACAAACGTTGAACGCTACAACCTGTAGTTTATAGTTGCGATGACTTCAAGCAACTCGGCTGTCGTAGAGATAGTTACAGACGGCGTAAATTTCCGCACCCAGCTGTCTACAAAGCAGCTGGTTGCGATCTTTCAATTCTTATAACCGTTTACACTGAAGAAAACTGATGATGCTGTCCGAGCAGAAGCTTGATCCGTTTGAGCATGGTATTATGCGTGAACCACTGAAAGGGTACGGCTTAAAACTAGTCTGTTGGAATATCCAGCAAAACTTTTCGTGGGACTTTCGATTTCGATCGTCATTACAAGTGGATCAGATGTTAGCCTTGGTGAGGACGTCGAGAACGAGAGCTTTCTCGAACAAAATACGACGGGGCAAGTTAGCTGACGTAGGTAAATGTTAAACATGATGATGTTGCCCAAGCTTCAGTAAAGTCACTGTTTAGATTTCTCTGATGCTTATTTGGTAGTCAGAGTTTTCTGCTGAGTCAGTTTTGCCGACAAATGTTCAATTTTTCACCCGCACACGGATGTTGATAAACATCTCGGGGGCCGCTGGTGCGTTTGTTCTGAGCTTTTCTTGACACACTGGTATAGTTCAGCGTCTGTACGGCAATAGAGCGACTTAAAACTGCAAATAAAGCACGGGTTGTCAATTGCTTCCTTCACGAAATAGCAGATGCTCACAATTCAAGCTTGCGTTTGATTCCGTTGCCCACGGGACGCGATTTCTATCAGAAAATCTACTTTTTTTCCTTTCGGTTCCGCGACACATCGTAGCAGACGAACCCTCGTCGTCTGCTCTCGCTCCTCGCCGGCCTCGCCGGAGCGAGGCATGACGGGATTGTATTCTGGCGCACGCCCGATTTTCTCGGTGCAGCGAGTGCATGCACGCGTGCGGTGCCGCCACTGAAACGAACTCGGAGAGTGCAACTACTCGTGGAGTGCCTGCCGAAACGAACTCGCTATAAGAATATTGACCCCCTTAACTGATTCTGCACCCGCTCGTGATAAATCCAGAAAGGGAGCTTCTAAATCCGCTAGAACACCCTAAGCATGGGAAAAGAAGATATTGCATTCCAATTCGTCTGCTAATTTGTCCATAAAGTGCCCACAACCAATCACCGGGGAACCTCCAAGACCGGACATCCAGATCCGAGTCGTCCAGACGGCCAAAGACGCCGCTGGCACCCCCATCCCCGAAAACCATTCTAAATAAAATTAAGTTGTCCCTACCCACGACGCAACACTCCACCGAGCGCGGGGGACACGAGACTGGTTTCCTCCTCCCCTGTACCTCTCTCTCATCCTCCTCTCCCTCCTTCTTTCCTTCTCCTCAAGCGTAGTGCGACACCCATTGAACCTGTACCGAAGTGTGATTTTCACTACATAATTTCAAGAGTAAGAGTGTACAATTTCCGTTCCTTTGCAAGCTTGCCGAGTTCAATGCTGCGTTACAATGATGCCACAACACCACACAGTGCTAATTGCCAACTGCCTGTGAAGTTGTTCCAACGTAGATGAGACAGCTCATAGACAGCCGCGCTGCCTGTGAGCAAGCAGAGTTGGGATAAACAGCTAAGCTGAACACACCGTTGAGAACCTCAGTTGTCCCTGAATTGAGAAAGCTGAACTTTTGAAGCAAAGTTTCTCTTACTTTTCAAAGGGGTCGTGCAACAACTTTTGTGCCTTCACTAAACACCGCTTAGAATTAATGTTTGGCAATCAGGACCGACAAAACGTGCATTAGTCTTTCTCTTCATTCAACCGTCACAACATATTAAGAGAAAAATTAGTAGCGTTCACTCTCTCAGCTTGCAGCCAGGGCGGCCATGTGAGCTGGTGCCGGTTGTGTTCATCGCAGACATGGGCCAAGGTTGACAAGGCACAGAGCATGTACTGAGCTCCAGGAATTCTCAGAGCTTCGTTATTCACGTCCTTGCAGCAACTGGACATGAGCCACTGCCCAAATGTTTGCCATGGTACTGTCACAAACCCAAGCCTAGTGCTCGCGCAATGCTCATGTCCATTCCATGAAGTAAAATCAACTTTCATCACGAGGGTAATCCCTCCGACCATGTTACTTAGCTTTACGAAGGAGAGTGAAATAAATAGTCTACTTTTATACTTAAGATAAAATGACAAAAAACTTTCCGGGTGAGTGGCGTTGCATGCTAAAATACTTAGGCCACAATAGTACTAGTACAAGCTTGTGTAAAGTGAGAAACATTCCTACCCAATATCGCTGCATGATCCTTTTTAAAAATAAGGATCTTGGTGCAAGATTGATGGAATGAATAAATTAATAACTTGTTGCATGTGTACTACTCACTTTTAGATTCCAACACATTGTTGTTTCCAATGTTCAGTGATTCAGAATCTATTAGATACTAGGGTTAAGGAATATTGTCACAAAAGACAATCAATCAGGCAACGAAACCCTGAACAAAACTGAATGCTTAATGGGGTGAACTTGTACCTAAACAGAATAAGATTGAGCAGGAATAACTGCACAGGCGAAAGGACTGACTCCCGACTGCCACGCGAAGCATCTTTTGTACCCACCATACCTCGGCAGACCTCACTCACGAGGGCCCTTCACTCACCCTCATCTTCACAGTTGAGGCGACGAAGAGTGATTTTCTAAACCTGGAAAATTCATGAGAGTGAGGGTGAGTGAGGGCTGTAAGGGCTGTGAGGGCTGTGAGGACCGTGAGTGCGTGAGGGGTATGAGTGCGTGAGAGTCGTGAGGGCTGTGAGGGCCATGAGGACCGTGTGTGAGGGCTGTGAGTGTGAGAGGGGTGTGAGGGCGGTGAGTGCGAGAGGGGTGTGACCGCAGTGAATGTGTGAGGGGCGTGAGGGCGGTGAGCATGTGAGGGATATGAGTATGTGAAGCTGTGAGTGCGTGAGGGTGGTGAGTGCGTCTGGGGCGTAAGGACCAGGAGTGCATGAAGGGCGTGAGGGCCATGAGTGCGTGAGGGGTACAAGTGCATGAGGGGCGTGAGGGCCATGAGTGGGTGAGGGCAGCGGTGTGTGAGGGGCATGAGGGCCACGAGTGCGTGGGGGCGGTGAGTGCGTGTGGGGCGTAAGGGCCATGAGTGCATGAGAGGCGTGAGTGTGTGAGGGCCATGAGTGCGTGAGTGCATGAGGCGCGTGAGTGTGTGAGGGCCATGAGTGCGTGAGGGGTATGAGTGCATAAGGGGAGTGAGGGCCACGAGTATGTGAGGGGCATGAGTGTGTGAGGGGCATGAGCGCAATGAGTGCGTGAGGGCCATCAGTACATGAGTGCGTGAGGACGGTGAGTGCGTGTGGTGCATGCGTGAGGGGCGTGAGGTCAGTGAATGCATGAGGGGCACGAGTGCTTGAGGGGTATGAGTGCATGAGGGGCGTGAGGGCCATGAGTGTGTGAGGGGCGTGAGGGCGGTGAATGCATGAGGGATGTGAGGGCTGCAAGTGCGGGAGGGGCGTGAAGGCCATAAGTGCGTGAGGAGCGTGAGGGCCATGAGTGCGTGAGGGTGGTGAGAGCATAAGGGGCTGTGAGTGGCGTGAGAGCCATGAATGCGTGAGGGGTGGGAGGGGTATGAGTGCGTGAGGGCCGTGAGGGCGGGAGCGCCTGAGTGGCACGAGGGCGTGAGGGCCATGAGTGCATGAGGGATGCGAGGGCGGTGAGTGCGTGAGGGGCGTGAAGGCCATAAGTTTGTGAGGGGCGTGAGGGCGGTGAGTGCGTGAGGACGGTGAGTGCGTGAGGACGGTGAGTGCGTGAGGACGGTGAGTGCGTGAGTGGTGTGAGAGCCATGAGTGCGTGAGGTGCGGGAAGAGAATGAGTGCGTGAGGACGGTGAGTGCGTGAGTGGCAAAGGGGCGTGAAAGCCATGAGTGCATGAGGGCGGTGAGTGCGTGAGGGGCGTAGTGGCGTGAGATCCATGAGTGCGTGAAGGGCAGGACGGGTATTAGTGCTTAAGGGCCGTGAGGGCGGTGAGTGGCACGAGGGGCATGAGGACCATGAGTGCGTGAGGGCAGAAGTGCATGAAGGGCATGTGTGCGTGAAGGCGGTGAGTGCGTGAGTGGCACGAGGGCCATGAGAGTGAAAGGAGTGAGGGGTAAGAGTGTGTGAGGGCCATGAGTGTGTGAGTGGCACTAGGGGTGTGAGGGCCATGAGGTTCAGTGAGTGTGAGTGAAGGGCTGAAGGTGAGTGTGACTGTGAGGATGAGAGTGAGAGAGGGGCTAAGGGTGAGTGTAGCTGGGAGGGTGAGGGTGAGTGAGAGGCTTAGGTGAGTGTGGCTGTGAGGGTGAGGGTGAGTGAGGGCGACGTAAAATGCCGACCTCTGGTACCCACATGGGTTTCTGGAAAACTCGGCGTAGAACTTTCGAAGCGTAAAACATCCAGACCTCAAACAAGCAACAGGGTTTTCAATTTACCAGAATGTGACACTGACAGAAATAAATAGGTACTTCCGCACCCAGGAAGCGAACCTCGGCCCTTTGCGTGGGAGCCAAGCATGATAATTGTTCGGCACAGACACACTTGCCCAGGGACGTGCGTGGCATAATGTGAGGTAATCAAAACACAGAGAAGCAATAAAATTTCCATCCTCTGACTGGAGAGAAGGTATAAGTGATATCCCATAATTATGATGACCCTAGTTCACATATTCAACCTAAAACTTTCTGCATATGTCGGAAAGCAAAACCTATTCTCTATTTCAATGCAACCTATTTTCTCGGGTTGGTTATCACCTACATTGATTCTATTTGCCCTTGAACACTTCTGCATAAGGCAATTCCCATGCTGACAGCATTAAGGAAATGTGCTACAGCAAGTTACCATCAACTCACAAACAGGCTTGTTTGTATCATCTAGAATTTAACACTGCCTGAGGATGCACTCTCATTGGACACTGCATAAATTTTATGGGGTGGGCAATGTTCCAGCTTTTTTCACCCTATAAATATTTACTCAGAAAAATAAGATGTGCATTTTTTTACGGTGGACATCCATTAGGAACCTCATAGAAGTAATATATAAAACATCCTCCCTGTGAGCATAAAAGGATACAGCTCCCAACTTCAAAAACATTGTTGTTTCCTATTGTCATGACAATCTCAGCATCAGGAGGATCACTTTCTGTTCTCCTGCCAAGGAAAATGAAAGAAAACATGAAATGAAGGTTGCAAAAATGTATTCAAGGATCACTCTAATAATGCAGGACAAGACAACCAGTGGAATGAGGAAATTGAGTACAGTAGTATACCTCATTACTATATATATATACCCAATACATGCAGGCACTTCTATATCAATGAAGAAAACAGTGAAAGATGTTTTTTCACAACACAACCAAATACAATACATCAACTGGCATGTATTACCATCACATCCAAAAGGAATGCAAATTCCTGTGCAGTTATGACAATAGGTACAGAAGCACTGACACCCCACAAAATATTGCAGAAAGCAACTATTCGTGAGACTTGTGATAGCTTAGTTCTGTCAAAGTTTTACCTCGCATGATTTTTAGCATGAGCAGTTGTGAAACAGTATATAACCATGCTCAACATTTTGACTCCTCCAAAGCATGGAAATCATGTTGCCTTCACAAAACACATATCAGAGTCTTCAAGCAAACTTTGTTCTATTTTGATTGTAACACCTACCTGTTGTATATGTAGACTTGTTCTTCAATTAAGTTGTTTTCCCCAATTATAATCGGTCCAGCCTCAGCAATGATGTGAGCTGCAGGATGCACCACTGTTCGGCTGCCTATGAAGCAAGAAAATACCATGTTCTCGTTGACACGTGAATTATCTTTTATCTATAAGTGTTTGCAAATTAATGTTCAAGGAATAAGAAAGTAGAAAAGCGAGTAACAATTACCTATTGTGACATTCCCTTTGATTTCACATTCAGCAGTCACAACCGCTCCTGAATAGATTTTCACAACCCTGCAATGTGCAATATATTTCAGGTTCCATGAATCACCATAAGTTAATCAGAAATCTGGCAATAGCCTCATGGTGTCAGAAGTGTCAAGGGAGGCTAGTTTTGCAAAAGCAAGTATTCAGCATATGTTGCTGCATGCTGCATCACTAATAGCCTCATCCCACTAGAGCAACCCACCAATTTTTGTCCGGCGACACCTCAGAGTTTCGTGTCGCCGATGTTGTCCCACTGTAACCACCAACACCCCCGATAAACACTGACAATCGACGATGGACAAGTTCTCGTTTGTTCTAGGACTTGAAGCGCAGCAAGCAGTCCTGCCAAGGAACATCTCTCGGAGACAAACTTACCCCCTCGCCCACTTTTACCCTTTTTGCCTCTCTTCCCACCCTTCTACCTTTCCTCTCGTTTCTCCCGTGGCTCGCTCCACCGCTCGACCTTCAGAGAAGGCCTTGGTGGCCACTGACCGTTTCCGCAGTTCCCGTCTCTCAATTGCTCGTAGTGGTAGTGACTTGCTTGCTGGCGATCACGTTGCGAAAGGGAATTTGCTGTCGCTAATTTTGCTCGCAAAAACCTGGCGTACAAGATGGTGCTTCAAGATGCCGAGGTCTACACCCCTGCATCAGGATGGATACGCCGATATTCGAGGACTGACCAGAGTAAGACCGCTCGCCACGAAGTAGGACATGACATTCTGGCAAGCCATTCCGGCAGGCGAGAGACTTGTAATCCCTATCTGTGATAATCAGGATGCTGTGTATCCCAAAACAAATGCCTGCCCTCTTTCATATGGATATAAACATCCTTGAAATTGGCGTGAAATTCCATGGCGTTCACCTCGAATGCCGAATGACCCAAATAGTGAATGGTTCAGGAATTTTAGTTAGGTAAAAGTTTGCTGTCGATTGTCACGACGATTTACGGAAAGACGCAAACGGCAAATGAAGACTAGCGGAAGCTTTAATTAAGAAATAAAGTAATCATCTTTACGTTCACTGTGTTTGGCTGCATGTTTTTTGCCCAAAGAGCGAAACATAAAAACCGCGTCATCGGACTCCGTCTGTTTGTGTATTTTGAAGTGTTTTGTTGACAAATTCAATGCCACAAGGAAACAAGTTTCATTGTCCCCATGTTCTGCGGCGTGTCCTCCAGGTGGGACGGCGGACTCCAACAAGCAAACTGTCTGTCGGTGTCGTTCGTTGTCGTGTGTCGCTGACATTTGTTGCTGTCCGTCGCTCCAGTGGGACGCGGCTATAAGCAGCTATGCGTTTACGCTGAGACACATGACTCTTTTCTTGTTCGTCTGCAGCTCGAATACATGCTTAAGAAAGGCAGTGTCTACTCTCCCGGCAGCCGGAAGAATAATTTCCCCGAAATTCTGCCAACAGTCTCCTTGCATTGGCTGTCTGAAGTCACAACTGCCACTGACTTTCTTATAGCGAGCTCGTTACACTGCACTCGTGCCCATGCATGCCCAATCGCAGCATGGAGCGAGTTCCATCCGACCAGCACTCCACAAGTGGCTGCACTCTCCAAGTTTTTTCCGGCGCCAGCAGTCCATACGTGCATGCACTCTCTGCACCGAGAAAATAGAGCATAAGCCAGAATGCAATCCTGTCATGCATCGCTCAAGCAAGGCAGGAAAATAGCGAGAGAAGTCAACACAATGAGTCGTCTGCTACAAGCTGCCATTCGCACAAGTGGAACCAAAAAAAACCCCACAAAAGTGGATTTTTTGTAAAAAATTGTGTCCCGCGAAGGTCGGGATTGAGAGCGATTTTAAATTGTGACTTTCTGGTATTTTTTGAAGGGAGCAATCAACAACCCATACTTTCGCAAGTTTTGAGTTGTTTTGCTGCCATCATTGAAATCTATTGATGAGTTAATAGTTTAGGAAAAAACGCATCAGTGGCCGCGAGACCTCTCTTACGGCTGTTTGGGTAAAACTTTATCGCCAAAACATGGCCGATAGTGGACTCAAGAGTGGACAACATTGGTCGAAAAAGCTCGCCCAGTAGAACCTGTGATGCATCCAGTCAGCAGCCGAGAAAGCTAAGCATGGTAATTTAACCAAGGCTTGGGTAAAATCATCATATTTAGCGTAAACCTACACCAGTTACTTTGCAACTTCTTTTTTGTTTGGGGAAGTTTTCGATCTCACCACTCTTTTAGAAATAAAACGTGACACAGCTACATGCAACCAAGGATTGAAATCAAACGCACCGCAAAACGTATTGCTGGAGATTCCAACTGACTAGTTTCAAACTGTATTCTTTCAGTGGTTCAAGCATAAAACTAATCAAGCCTCTGTGTGAATAGGATAAAGAATGTTTTCTCCACACGTCGCCTGTAAACATCTCCACGACAATCGAGTTTTTTAAGTCATCACAAATATAAACATTGCAGCAAGGGCACCGTATGCGTTCTCGCCTGTCATGTCAAACAGCAGGGCACCATTTTCGGTTTGAGGGAGGTACTCTTGCTACAGCAAAGATGGGGACAGGCTCAGTTTACACTGGACAAGATCGTTCAGGACCGGTTCTCCGTGCGACAATCCGCGAATGCGTTGCATTATGGTAGAGAACTCGCACGGTGACAGTGCGTGTGAAACGAACGCGCTATCATTCTTCTGGCATTTTGAGGAAACACGTTTCATGGACATCTTTTCGAGGAAACACGTTTCATGAACATCTTTTCGAGAATAACGTTTCATGGACACATGTTTCGCCGACACTCTTTACGCGAATTGCACGCTGTAGGGATATTTCGTCGAGCGTGCATCATCACTAGGGCGCGTGTTAACCTACCCGGCCCACTCGTTCAAGCCGTTTCGCGGCGAGTCTGGAGCGGCTCATTGCAGAAAAATGCTAATCTGAGCTGTCGATGAAACGATTTGTCGATGAAAGAATCTGTCGAAGAAACATCGCGTGACGATCAAACGATCTGCCGATGAAAGAATCTGTCGAAGAAACATCGCGTGACGATTAAACGATCTGTCGATGAAAGAATCTGTCGAAGAAACGATTGCCACTGCCAATGGGAGGCAACTGCCGGTAGAATTTCGGGGGAGTTACTCTCCCGGCAGACACTGTTTGTTTTTTTTTTTTTTTTTTTTTTTTTAAACGAGAGTGAACTCGGCGACGAGAGTGAAGTCGTCTGTCGCCAAGAAGCTCGGCTACCCTACCCTACGACCCCGATGACAACTGAAATGCTAGTCTTTTTCGAGTGCCCAATCAACGAAGGGCACCTTTGAGGCACTTGCGAGAGAGAGGAGATTCCTTTGAATCATCTTGGATTGTTTAGCGTACAGAACAGGGCTCAGCCTTACGGTAGAACTGCCATCATCAAAGAACTCCCTCACTCACCCAACCGAAGCCTTGGGGGCAGCAGCCATATGAATAATATGAAAAATTAACAACTCTAAAAGCTTTATAATGGCCTACAGCCACTATAACAAAACCTTTCACTCGGTTTAGCTGAAACTCAACACAAACGACGACCCACCGCTATCCAATTATGATCAAAATAAGCCCTACACCGCAGGCTCCGTAAACCTGAACTATCTAAACCCACCCAAACAAAATCTGGCTTCATACGGATTGGCTTGACTTGTCTTCGTGCTTTTGTGTGCAATATATTTCCTAGAGCCACTCATGTTTGTATTTACGTGACAGCCATCACATCACTTTAATAAAATTACGCAACAATATTTTATTAAAAATGAATACATTCCACCCTAACCCTACTTTTTTATTGCTCAGATGTTTGATGTGCTGTTGTGCGGCCAGTATGGTGACTTTGGCGCTTTGGTGGCTTCCTTTTAGCATCGAAGATGGCGGCATGTAACAAGAAGAAAAAGTAGTCGGCGTTCGGCTGGTTCGGCCGTCACTTGATCGCAATTCTCCTTTGACGCACTTGATCTTCTTAATGCAGCCGCTACAAGCGCGAAGAGAATGACATTTCCGGCGAGTCACAAGACAGTGTTCGTGCTGGACCACAGCCCGTATTTTTTAATGTCATGCCAGCAACTAATAGAATTCGACATCTTTACAAAAACCCGGCAGCCAGGCATCATACCGTTGGCACCGATTTCTAAGTCTCTGTGGACATGCAGCGTGGAGGCCGCTATCGAGTACTGCCGTGTAGTCTGGGACATATTTCCGACTAACAAGCTGATCAGGTTTGTTGTGAGCGGTACATCGGCGCGTCACTTAAACACATGGCTGCAAGAAGATCAAAGCATGGCGCACCTGATGGCCGTGATGGCCCAAGTGGGCGCACCTTCGGAATCTACGAACCCCAAGAAGTGCAACATTCTTACCGGACTCACGGCGGCTATCGAGGCGCTGTGTCAGTGCAGCGAGGTACAGCACGAGTACCGGACATCGCTGAGCGAGACGGCCGGCAAGATCGTCAACCGTGGTCGAGTCGTGTGTGTGACCTCCCTGAGAAGCGACTCCGAGATGCGTTCGATCGAAGAACGGTTCTACAGTCAGCTCACCGAGCACAATAAACTAGCCGCCAGTTCGGACAGCCTGATGCCGGTGCACAAGTGCGAGCTTGTCATGATCCACACGTGTCCCGTCAACAAGGAGTCCGACGTACCGACAGTCACCAAGCGGGACCTCGGGCCGATCCTGTCAAGTGAAGTGCACCGAGTGCGCTCCGGGCGGCACCTGGCTGCCAAGCTCGGCTACCTGGTCCAAGTGCACTACAACCTGGCTTCCACTACTGTCACTGGCATCCCCATGAAGGAAGAGCAAAATGCCAACTCGTCAGCCAACTACGACGTCGAGCTTCTGCACCCGTCGGCCGCTCATACGGAGCTCTTCAAGACCGGCTTCAGCAACACAGAGGGAGTCCACGTTAGCACGGTGAAAGAAGGGCAGACATATGAGACGGTCACCCTCAAGTGGTGCACTCCTCGCTCCAACAGCGTGGAACTTCAGTATTGTACCGGGGCCTACCGGATAACCCCTGTCGACATCAACAGCCGGCCTTCTTCCTGCCTGACCAACTTCCTTTTGGGCGGTCGAGCGGTCATGCTCGAGATGCCGCGCAAGGTGGGCTCCAAAGTGATGTCCCACATGCTTGCCAGTCATGGAGGAGAGATTTACATCCACACACTGGGGACCGGTCGATCCACCCTGGAGGACCCTCCTTCAATAAGCGAAGGATGTGGCGGGAGAGTGACAGACTACCGAATCAACGACTTTGGCGAGTTTATGAAGGAAAACAAGTTGGTTCCGTACCGTGTTGGGCCCAATGACCGTCACGAGCTTCCGATTGACCGCGCTCAGAAGCGCTTGCAGAGGCTGACCCAGTATTGGCCCATGGTGATAAGCCACACGACCATCTTCAACATGGCTTCGCAACTGGACCCACTTCTTACACTTATAACCAAAGAGGCCCTCACTCCAGATGAGATCATTGAGTGCAAAAAAGTGATCTACCTTCTGGTGGCTATGGAAAGCAAGGGAACCTCTCTGCCCGTGCCAACCATTGGTGTGAGGGGCAAGGGGCCCAAGAGAGAGGAACAGTACCGGACGATGTGGAACGAGCTGGAAAACTACATCCGGATGCATTGCGTGACGGCGGAGCATAATGTCATCTTGGACTGCCTGCTGGAGTGCCGGAAGCCAGCCGACTCCGACACCGGTACAAGCAACCACAAGGGGGCTGGGGCCAAGAAACCAGCCGAGAAGGCGGTGTCAGTGAAGGACGAAAAGGGGGAAGGGAAGTGGTCGGAGGTCGATCTCGGTTGGAGGGAAGGCAAGTTTGGCGATGTGGAGAAAGGAGAAGATGGAGCTGGGAAGGCCCAGCCGGCTAAAAAGGCTCGTGTAAGCAGCCTGGATGAAGGGATGCTTGGCTGCTCGTCACTCCTTGCACTCTGGAGGAACAAAGTGACCACCGAAAATGCAAGGAGGCACGTGGAGTTCGCCGGTAGGTTGAACGGAGATGGAAAGGTGGCCATCCTCTATCCCAGCCTTAATCTCGACGGTGGCAATGAAAATGACAATGACGTTAAGCCGAATCCCCCTGCTAGGACCTGATTGTAAAGGTCCTGCCTGGTCAGTCTGGGCTCTTGTATATACCATGATAAAACTAAATTTTCCGCACATTACAAGCATTTTTTTTTATTTACTCACACAGTTTTAATGTCAATAAACAGGTGTATCCCAAACATTCATTTCAGCACACTTTAGATTGATGAGTCATACATATAAATTTAGCCATTGCATATGGGCAGAGTGAAGGTGGTTAATGCTAAAGGGGGTATTCACTGGATGCCATACTTAAGGGCATTATTTAGAGGGCATGCTCAGAAGTGCTAAGATCAGCAGTTTTGATGGTGTGGAATGCACTATGCAAAAGAACTTGAAGCTCGCAATCGGCATGCGCTCGGCAGTCGCACACAAACCCGTGGGTGCCAGTGAATGCTTCATATACTCCCTTCAGCTTTCAATAGACTGCAGCGGATGCTAAAAGCTATCCCTGCTAATCCAGCACTGTGAATATGTGGTTGGTGTCCTAGTTTACCTTATGCACATGGAATATGCTTTGTTTGGTGCAGAGCACACAACCTTGTTTGTGGGCTCTGCACCAAACAAAGCATATTTCATGTGTCGTAAGGTAAACCAGGACACCAACCACATGAAAACCTGCAACATCTCTCACGACGTGATATGCCCCATGTGAAAAGGGGGTTGTATATCACATTCTCTTATCGTGTGGCAAGTGTTACATTGGCCAAAATGGCAGAGGCATTAAGACAAGAGAAGACGAAGCATCTCTAAAAGGCACAAAAGCAGGTCATTTACTAGCCCATTGCCGCAACTGTGAATGCAGTGCAGAGTTCAGCAGTGTCACCATCATCGCAAAACACAAGAACCAGTATGCGCTAGTGTCACTCAATACTTTGTCAGTGTTTCTAGTGTTCTATTCAGTGGCCCTAGTCACTGAATAGGCACTGAAACTGAAACCTATTCAATAACTGGTATGCACGAGAGATGCTCGAGACCTTGGCAATAAAAGACAATGAAGCAACGTGTGTCGGCAAACCGTGTTTTATGTCCCGGTGAAGTGCGGGTGACACAAGTTTAAGTTGGGTTTTACAATGTTAGTTGTGTTTTTATGTCGCTTTTTAAAACAAAAAAAAAGCATGAAGTCGATTCAAGAAGGGGAGGAAGTATTTAACCACAGTTCGTAGACCAGCGGCGGAGGCAATCGGTTAATTAAACAATGTTTCATCGACACGCAATGTTATGTCAACAGATCGTTTCCTCGACAAATCGTTTCATCAACAGCTCGGATGAGCTTCTTTCTGTAATAAGCTGCATGAGACGGTCGCCGCAAAGCGGTGCGTACAGGTCAGTCGGGTGGTTAACATTTTTGTAATGAGCCGCCGCAGACTGTCGCCGCGAAGCGGCGTGTACGCAGGTGGGGGTAGGTTCATGCGCACTTCAGTAGTACATTTGTGACAAAATTTCCTTACAGAGTGCAATTCGCATAACGTGTGTCCATGAAAAGTTGCTCACGAAACAAGTTTCAACAAAATGATAGGGACCTGTCCAGCGGTATGTCTGTCCCTTTTTCTCTATATTCTATTTTCCTGGGTTCAGCTGGCCCAATTATAGTATTATGCACCAACAGGCTCAACTAAAGCCCGCTACACAGCAGACCATTAGTCTGGATATGGGATGTGCCATGAACCAAAAATTGAGAGCACTTCCACCCCGTGAAGACGCAAGTCCAGTGAAGCTGGTGCTCTGGTGAGATAATTGCTATGTTGGGGTTTAGCTATATTGGGGATTTGCTATGTTATGGTTTGGCGTCGCGATAATATGCGTCGTGCTTGCATTTGGCTTTTGCTCTATCATTGTCGGTGGCATCGGCTTGACGGCGCCGGCTAAATTGATACTGGTGCTCGCTTCGGCGCTCGACGCGGGCGAGGTCTTCGGGGGGAGCTTGGTCGGCACTCGAATTGTTTTTGGGCTAGGAGCAGTGGGCAGTTTCACGTTGGTGGCGTGCCCATTCTCGCTTCTGGGCACGCCGATGCTCCTTGTACTCCTGCTGCTCCTCTTTGAAATGTACAACATGGTTGCGACCCATGTGAAGTCTGAAATCCAGCTGATAAGAACAGTGGCGCCAGAACCTAGCCATAGACAGCTTCGCTGTAAAAATGGCAATGCGTCGCCGGCATCCAATAGGAGCGCCCACGGCACGATCAAACGATGGCGGTACTTGAGTAAGTCAGGATATCCAGCACTTTCCTTTAGCTTGGTCTCAGTGGACGTGAGCCAAGGAGGTTATAAGTACTAGGAGGGGGCATGTTACAATATTGGCGAAGCCTAGCCATAAAAAGTTTAAATGATTTTGTGCCCAGCGTGACCACAGATCTCTCTAGAGATTGGTGCATGTGACATGTCACGTGTGAGATGGATGGTGATTGTAGATGGACACCTTGCAGGCTTGCGCGCTCTCTGTCCGGTAGGTTTTATCAGATCGAAAGCTAGATTGTGGTGTATTCTAATAGCCCATAGCAAGACGAAGGCTAGCTACGGTTACGTGATGTGGTCACGTTGGCATGGTAAGTGAGGAGAGTAAGGAGGAAAATGAGAAAAAGGGGAGGCGTCAAGGGAGCGTGGCTTCTGGAGGCTACGCGGCCGACGTCATGCCCTCTCCTATTCTTCTATCCTCCTTGACGTGAGCGGTCCGAGTTTCAAGGGTCAGTTTCCTAACTCAATGTTTTAGTAACATTGGTGCAGCTCTTGAAAGCTAGGCCTTTTTCAAGCAAAAGTCAAAATAATGATTTTGTGTGCCATTTGGGAATGTGCTTAAACAAAAATAGGCTCGAGGTAAACCTACGCACTTATGAGTTGTGAATGCGAAAGCATGCACGCCGCTCTTCCGCTCCCTTCTTTCGTCTGTGGCGTGCTGCGCCGACGGTTGAGCGCGCGCGCTGTCCTCGGCGCGCTGACTTTAGGCCTGGAGCGGTGGAACCGCTGCCTCGCGGACACGCAGCGCCATGGGGTGGCGGTCGTCGAAACTGACGGGCAGCGGCCAATGGGAGCCTCGTCGACGCGCGAAAGCCAATGGGACCGAAGCCGGAATCCATCAGCTTTACTCCGCTCTTTTGGGATCGGGGAAACTAGGTGCCGTTTGGCTATGCTTAATTTTTCGCGTGGCTTCAAAGCTGGGAGCTGGCTTCACTTGGAGAAAGGATTTGATGCCGTTTGGCGCGGCTTCAAAGCTGATGACGTCAGCTCGCTTTATGGGACAGTTAAAGCTTTCGTATTAAAAGGCAGGGCCCGCAAAATCTACCGATTTGCTTCTCTGTCTTATCCGTTTTCGGTAAAAACAACAGGAACGTCGTTTCACTTTGATTTGGAAAGGCTTAATAAACAAGTTTCCTTCTTTCTTTGTTTTTTTTACTTAGGTGACTTCATATTTTGATACGTGTAAATAATAAGTTCACCACCCACAAGCCCCACAAGCGTCGGACGATGGGCTTAATGTTATTTTATGTTATTCCTAGTTACAGTGTGCACTGCTTGGTGGCGCTACGGCGCTGCTACTCATTCGAAAAAAGATGTCTGCGCGCGTATCGCATGCTGGCACAAGTTACACGTGGTGTTTGTTTATGGTTGTGAAGCTGTGATCGTTGTTAACTTTAGCTAGTATTTCGTGTAATATTACATGATGCCGGTATGTGTCAATTGGTTTTGCTTTCGGACAGCGGTGCTAAGGTACACGTACCATCGATCTGGAGTGCCCGCTTGAACGAAGTTCGTCGGAAGTTGAAATAAGCAAAGCGGTGAGAAGTCGTGAGAAGTCGTGAGAAGCCGTGAGAAAATAATTAATTCGCCACCCACGAGCCCTTATTTAGATTGTGAGGTAGACTCATTTGAAACAGTCAGCCATCAGACAGACGGATCCGCCAAGTTTTGCTTTGAGAGCATCGAAGGACGACGCGCGATGGCTCTCACAAATTGTGAGTACACCACATAATTCGTCGCAATCGACTTGCGCCCGTTCTGATCCTAATCTTTCTGCTTTTTCTGTAGCCTTGCTCTATGAGCTGTCTGCCAACAGCTTGGAGCAAAACATCGAGTTGGTTGAGCTAGTTCTACGCTCTCCCGTGCATATACCACAAAAAAGAGAGATAGTTATCTCATGGCTCTGTAAGTGCATCGAAGATCACGATAGGTAAGCACGCTAAATGTCGGCGTAAATTGGAATGGGGACTGTATACAAGAGTTAATCTCGCGGTTCTGACAGCGTACCACACAGCGAGACGGCAACCCTTTGGAAGCTCCTGCACATGCTCCTTGAAGACATGGAACCGCGCGAGGTGGTCATAGTTGCGCAGGACTCGTTTCTGAAGGTGAGTGGATTATTTGGTAAACTTCCTGGGCGAGTTTTAAAGATATGCTTTGTCATCGCCGGGCAGCATTTGTCGGTGCTTTTTGCATGGCGTGTAATGTATCATGCAGACGATATTCACCAAACGCCATTTTAATTGAGTATAGCTATACGCACTCCAAAGTACACTTCGGACGGAAATGGCTATACGCACTTCGCGAAGAGCTCATGCTTTTGGAACGGTGCTTGTATCACTGGGGAGCTCGCTAACACAGCTCCCCGCCTGCGTTCACGCCGCTTCGCAGCGACAGTATGCGGCCGCTAATTACAAAACTTAACCAGTACACGCCGCTTCGCGGCGTCCAGCTGGCAACCCAAGCCCCGCTGTCCCCGATCGCACCTCCGGAAAGGGAGTCCCAGAACGAATGTCTCCGAAGTGATTGCTGCGGAACAGCGGGTCTCGCCCAGATCAACAGTCCGAGACGGTAAAGGCCTGCTTCCTCGGCCCACTAGGCCTGAAACCAGCCACTCCGTCAGTACCATGAAAACTATGCTACTAGGACTACTGATACTCTCCGGCGACATCCACTGCAACCCTGGGCCCTTCCACTTGCAGTGCTACAACCCAAGAAGTCTCCTGAACAAGGTACCTGAACTCAAATCCGCCCTGGCCTGTAATTCACCCAATGCATTGTGCGTGTGCAAAACGTGGCTCGGTGACTGTTCCGGACCACGAAATATTCGGCCCCGAGTTCGCCGTGTTCAGAAGAGACCGAAGTGGATGCGTAGGCGGCATCCTGGTCGCCGTAAAACGTAAATTCTTCCCTGTGCGCCGTGCGGACTTAGAGGCTCCCAACTCCGAGCTCGTTTGGGCCGAACTCAACTGCCGAGGCGGAAAACTGCTTCTCGGTTCACTGTACAGGACCTCAATACAGGTCATGGTGTCTTCGCTGAGCTGTGCGCAGTTTTCGATCGGATCAGCTCCCGTAAAGAAGGCCACATGAACATTCTGTTAACTGGGGACTTCAACCTTCACATCAACTGGAATTCTGCTGATCCGATGCCAACAAGCGAGACAGAGGCTAAGTTCCTGGACTGGAAGCAGCATGCGAACCTCACAGATTGTCCGCTTCCCAACGCACGTCCGTGGCAATGTTTTGGGTCATACCCTAGAGCTATTTCTCTGCCGGAACCCTGCCCAATTACTATCTGTGCCTGACACTCCCCCGCTATCTAACTCTGACCACATTGGAATGTCCTCCTCCTGGAACTTCAGCTGCGCAAGAAAACGAATAATCTCAAAGCAGGCAATCTTGTTTAACAAGGACGGACATGACTCACTGGAACGCTCTGTTGCCCTGGCTCCTTGGTTTCTTTGCTCGGACTTTCTGACGGACTATAACCCATGGGACCTATTCTATTATATGTCCTGGGCTGCATGCAGAGACTCTACGCATACTATGATCTCTTCCAAACACAAGAAAAGCAAACCATGGATAACTGGACTCATCAAACAGCTATCAAGCAAGACGAGGCACTTCTTCAAAAGGGCTTTAAAAACACAGGATGCAACTCATTGGGCGGCATACAAGGATCTCTTGAGACAGCTGAAAAGGGAGATAAGAGTATCCTATCGGAATTACCTCTGCGACATGGCAAGCCAGGCAAGAACGTGCCCCAGACGTTTCTGGCAGTTCTACGGATCATTTCGACGTAACAGTGCTGCTACCCAGTTTCAAATAGGAGTCACATACACTGACAATGCTCAGGTCATCGCCAACTCCTTTGGCCAACACTTCAGCGGTGCAGTGCCCGCGTTTAACAACTCCTGCCCTCCTCCCCAAGTTGAAAGTCCCCCTGCTGAGAAGCACAACCGCGAAGAGTCAATTCCTGTGTTCGTCCCTCCACCCGTTACCACCGAGGACGTTGCAGCTACCATCTCCCAGCTGAAACCTGGCGCCTCCCCTGGCCCAGATGGCATTCCCCCCTTCCTGCTCAAAGCCTGTGCTGCGGCACTTTCGTCCCCATTGGCAGACCTGTTCAACTACTCCTTTTCCAGGGCACTTATCCCTGATGTCTGGAAGCTAGCACATGTGACCCCTGTCCACAAAGGAACGGGGAAACCACTGAACTCTCTCGAAAGTTACCAACCAATAAGCCTCACCTGCATCCTCTGCAAATTATTTGAAACCTTAATTTGTAGTAAAATCTCCACGCACCTAGAAGTCAACAACCTTATCTGCAGCTCTCAACATGGCTTTAGGAAGGGGCGGAGTTGCGAAACTCTGCTCTCTCTCCTGCACCACGACCTGAGCAGTGCCCTGGACAGCTCGAAGGAAGCAGATGTGCTGTCCATAGACTTCTCGAAGGCCTTTGACAGTGTGAACCATGACCACATCCTTACCAAGCTCCCAGGCTTTGGGATCTCCGGAGCAACCCTTAAATGGGTATCGAACTTCCTGGGTAATCGCCATCAGTGAGTTAACTTCCACGGTGCCTTTAGCCAATGGCACAATGTCAGAGTGGGTGTGCCTCAGGGCTCTGTTATAGGGCCACTCCCCTTCAACCTCTACATCAACAACCTTGCGGTCGACATACAATCTAACATTCTTCGGTATGCAGATGATCACATACTGTACCGCATAATCCACTCCTCTCACGACCGCCAGATCCTGCAGTCCGATCTGCACAGGATCTGCAGGTGGTCAGAAGTCATCGGACTGCTCCTCAACCCAGACAAAACTGTGTACCTTAAAATATCAAGAAAAAGGAAACCCGTCGATGTCAGCTACAATGCACAAGGGAAGCGCATACAAGAGATCACAGACACTAAGATTCTTGGTGTTTGGTTTGACAAGACCCTGTCCTTTAGAAGGCACGTTGGCTATGTCTGTAAAAGGGCGAGCAAACTGAGAGGCTTCATAACCAGGACAACAAGAGAGATGCCAAGCCATGCCTTTTGTACACTGTACACGGCTCTTGTACTGCCGGTTTTGGAGCACTGCTCCTCTGTCTGGAGCCCCCACCAGGTTGACCTACAGAGGAGACTAGAGTCGATGCAAAGAAAGGCCACAAAGACAGCACTCTACTTGTAGGACAAGAGGGCAAGCAAGCTACCCTATGAAAGACGGCTGCAATCCCTGCGGTGGTCCAGACTTGATAAACGTCGACTGTTCTTCAGACAGGTCCTCCTCTACAGGTACCTACATGGTGTCTGTGCCATTCCCGATGGTTACTTGAGGAGGTCTAGGCGAGACCCCTCGAAACTTGAACAGCGCCTTGCCCGCACCATTAGTGCCTCTACCTCCCTCTTTGTCCAAGCGCCTACCTTGTGCAATCACTTACCAGATGCTGCTCGCCAGGCCCCAAGCGTAGACGAATTTGAAGATCTGGTGCGGAATGACCACGACACCTACTCTCTTTATTAGGCTAAGTATTCCCACCCTTGTGTAAATTACATTCCAACATCTCCATTTCATCTGTTAACGTATGACCGAGGAGGAAATCAAAATATGTATGCATGGGCTTCTGCCTTCTGATTGCCTCAGGCTCTCAGTCGTATGGTTGTTTTAGCCAATAAACACCTTTGAACCTTTATTCGTTTTTTTTTTTTCTTTCAGTGTTTATTGTAAAATTAAAATATTGTAAATACCGCAAAATGCCTCGACAAAACAAAATGTTCGAGAAAGAAAAAAAAAAAAAAAAAAAGTAGGCCTACCGCGGATCGAACCTGCGTCCATTTGCGTATAAAGTGGACACCTTAACCCCTATGCTATGCCATAGCTCAGAAAACTCGTTGTGACCATTTGTTTTATACGAGATTAGCAGAGTGCGTATAGCCATTTCCGTCCGAAGTGCACTCCTGAGTGCGTATAGCTTTACTCATTCTAATTAGTGATGGGCCGAACTTTTACCGAATCGAAAGTTCGGCGCCGAATCTTGGGATTCAGCAAAACCAAACTTTTGCCGAACTTTTTGAAAGATTCGGCAAAGATACATTGTTACCAGACTTAACATTGATATTTAGTTTTTTTCTGGCAAAACATAAATACAACATGTAATGCATATTGACACAGTTATTACTAAATAAGGTGATATTCAACAAGATAATTGTATCGGTATCGTTTTTGTGTGTTTACTGGCAAATTTAGTGACTTTTTGCAGAAGTGGTGTGACAACGAGGTTGGGTAAAGGCGAGCGTGGCGCAGTCACGAATCGCGCTACAAGAGTTTCGGTTTTGAGGCATTATCAGCGCAAGCCTGCACGTGTGTGTACATTGTTAAAATGAAGGCAATAACACTGCGTTCTTTCTTTCTCTGGGAGTCACTGTTTTGTGCGCAAAAACGAATGCAACGGTTGCTGAGCCTTCACTAGAAGAGATAATAAGATTGTTGTAAATACGCATGTTTTTCAATTTGAGTCACTTGACGTCAGTTTTGCGTGAAAATATGTGTCCCATATTCGCAATGTCTCGTCTTTAACCTTTAAAATACCAGTTTCTGGTGTTAGGACACACACAAACGTTTAGGAAGATAGGGAGAGTCAAGAATGGGGGTCGAATGTGCAACGTCGAGCATTATAGTTCTGTGTTTAGTTTTATGTAGGTACATGAAAATCGCGAAATAACGCTAATTGAAAAAGCAATATTTTTTTAATGAAAAAACAGTTAGGGCGCAGGTGAGCTGGTGTAGGTTTACCATTTTTTTAGACCACCTGAGACTTGGTGGAAGAAACACAACATGTTTTTTCCACTTAGTCTCATGTGGTCTAAAAAATATTTTGTTTTGGCATTCACTACTTCTGAGCTGAGAACAGAATTATTATAATTGCGAGGAGTGCTTTAAAGTAATTGACGGCCAATGTTTCAACTACCTTGTTGCATCACTGGAAATGTCAAATGAAAATCACGTTATCCCGAATGTACCGCATCATTTATCACTTGCGTAATAGACTGCTTAAATTGCTGGTCGATCTTCTATTCTTGAGGCAGAAAATATTGAAGAGAACCACACTCGCTCACAAACGCACAGTTACCGTGTTGCCTACTCCACACCTCGCTGTAACCGCTGGTTGTGCTACACTGATGATAACCGTACGACTGCACGGCGTCCATTTGCAATCCATGGCCCCGTGACGGGGCTATGGCCAATGCCTGCGCACGCGCGAGAACGCGACGGGGCCCCTGTCGCGTTCTCGCGTGTGCGCAGACGTTTGCCGAATTTTTGCCGAATCTTTGCCAAACGTTTCTTCAAAAGTTTGGCATTTGCCGAACTTTGCCGAATCTGAAGTTCGGCAGATTCGGTTCATCACTAATGCTAATGTTTACAAACCAAGAGCCAAACACGCACGTGTTCATTGCTTTAGAAAGCAAGTGAAGTACAAAAGTATGCACGAAACTTGAAAATGGATCAATCCAGAAGCTTTTTATAGGAACATTTTATGCTCGTGTTTCTTCCTGCAGAAAGCATGGTGACGGCGAGCACGGACAATATTTTTTGTACAAGCACTTCGCTCCATCCGTCTTGTCGCTTTTGGCAGACAATAGGTGCAAGCTCGGGCTAAGCGTACACCGACTAGCTTCGGCTCAGTTATCGGTGCCGCTGCTTCATGTATGACAGCACTGTCTCCTGCCATGTCTTCGCAGTCTTGGAGTGGTAACAAACCCATCGCTCTGCAATGCCACCAGTATCATAAAAGCATCAGGCCACATCTTCGTTTGTTGTGGGTCATCTAGGCCCATCACTCAGCATTTTTATACATTGTATGAGCAGTTGCTAAATTGCCACAATGCAGTGCAGCTTGTATCATTAAACTGCAGTGCTGAAGGCTCATAGTGGCTAATGTATAGCTCTGGACGGCGATTTTAAATAGTTTTATAGGTGGGATTGTGTGTTTTCGGTTTAAATTGATAACCGTATGCCAAATTAATTTGTTATAATTCAGTTTTAGCCAAAAAAGGTTAGTGTTTTAAAGCAAGCACAACTAATGAATGGTAGGGAGGTGTCACTGTGTGACTTAGAGGCAAACTTCCACCCATTTTTCCTATCACTAGTATCACCCCTGATTGTTCTTCTGTTGCTGCTTCACTTCACTCTTTCTCCTGGGAACACTGTATGACGTTCTTCTCCCAGAAAGTTAGCACCTACGATGGCTTCTGCTCGGAATAATTTTGGTTTCAGAAGATCAGTTGGCATTCTAGGAATTAAACTCTTATGTCTGCCGGTTACTTTCCTTTAAATTTATGCCACACAGGCGATGACAAACATGCTCCGAGGACTTGAAAACATGGACCGACAACGCCATATCCTGCTGGCAGCAAGCCTGCTCCTTCAAAAGGCACCTCAGAGCATACTGTCACTGAAACTGCTGTCGTTGGTGAGTAACTGATTGCTAACTGTAAGGACATAGAATGACCGTTTGGCCAAGGGATGTAGTTCACCTAAATGATATATCCCTACAGATTACTCTATGTGTTTTCCTCACAGGACCACAGTTACCCATCAAAAGGTTTTGGGTTTTTGGGAGACAGGTTTAAAGCATTATTACACAAGTGGAGTCAAATGTTCATGGGAAAAAATTATGCGTAGAGCCATTTTATATGAACTGCTCAATGCTGCCATTGGTTTTACCCTGTTATTGAGTAGAATCTCACTTCCTGTTCCCCAAATACAAAACTGATCTGTATTTTTTTTTTTTTTTTTTTACCCTTCTAACTTAGAATCTAGTCCTCCATTGACTTGGATGCAGACCATGTATAACAAGTGTTTTAACCCTGGCATGGACTTTTTCACTACTGTTGCATGTTTTAAAAAAAAGTGTAATACTAAAGATACGTTTATATTCCGACATCGACAAACCTAATGCCCGACAATGTGAAACGACAATCGTTGTCCACTTCGCCACTCCGCGCTGCGTTGCGAAAGGAATTGTCAACTGTGTTTATAGTCCAGCAACATTCAATGCACTCCAGCGAATTGCTTCACATTGCGCATGCACGTCATTATGGCGACCGTGTGGTTTGGTCTCGGTGGCGAATTTCCGCTTCCGTTCGCAACTTGCAGCGCTGCCCGGATGCCCTGCGACAGTGATGATGAAAGCAGTTAAGTGTATTGAAAGCTGTGATTCACGGCAGTTGAATCTCCGCGCTATGGCACTTTCGAACATGAGCAAATAACGAAGACAACTTGCGTAGAAAAGCATTTACTTCCTGATGAAAGTCATACATGGTCAGCGGAAGAAAAGCAAAAATATCAGCCGGTTTTTGTTTTGAATAACATCAACGAAAGAGAAGCAGGTGGTGGTCCGCAGCGACCGGCTTCTAACATATGTCCAAAGCACAGACCTCATGGCTAGTCTTCTGCGTCGAAAACTCACGGATATGACACTGAAATAAAAAGCCGATGTCCGTCGAAGTGGCTTAAGCGCGTCCGCAATGTCGTTAGGCCTACACAGTATCTCGGCTTCGAAACAGGTCCGCAGTGATGCGCCGTCTTACTTCATCGAGCGAACAGAATAAACAGAATGACTAATGGCAAATTGTGCACCAACACTAGCATATCCAACTGACCAGCGGCTACACTACAGGACACATCCGAATGGCAGGCAAACAAACACACAACACAGCCCGATTGATTCCCGACTGAGGCAACGACGGGAGCACGGCAAACACGGGAGCTGGCGTGAAGGCGTCTGGGTAACTACTGTCACCAGCAGATGCCGAGTTTTGAGCAGGGCCTACCTCGGCAAAAGATTTGCCGACGGTCATCGAGGTACGCGACACTATGTTACGTTTGATTGTAGTTGGAGTGTAGACGCTGCTTTCGCAGCGACGTAGCGCTACGCGGTCAAGCACGCACGCCCGTTGACAATACGCTAAAAAAGTCGGATCCTATAAAAATGACTGGTATTGCTTTATGGGGTTTGAAATATGGTCATACCCAAAATATCACGCCAGACCGACACCGCTTTCTTGATTAAAACCAGTATTAAAAATGTTCTACCAGCTGGGTTAGCAGCCCGACAGCGGGTGATCAATGCTGGCACCAGGTGAGCTAGTGAAGCAACACTGGGCACTGACATAGGTTTCGTCCTATGCTCTGGTACGGACGTCGCAGATGCTTTGTCTCCCGTGACATTTTGCGATTCTGCTGACGGCAAGAGGTGCTTAACGCGTTACCCTGTCTTCTGCTATTTTTATTGTGTCCTGGCGGTTAATTTAACTCCAGCATAACTTCCCCAACCGCATGGAAGAGAGCGAAGCAGTGTTGCTCGCTCACGTACGTGTCGTGGAGCCGGAGAGACTTGCCGGACTCGCATTGGGCAATGCCCAGCACGACTTGTAGTGCTGTGGGTTGTACCAGCAATCCGGTGCACAACCCGGAGCTGCGGTTCCACCAGTTCCCAAAAGACCGAAAGAGTCGCAAAGTGTGGGTCGGTGCCGTTGGCCAGATAGACTTTGGAAGACCGTGGACTTCGAGCTCCAATGTGAAGCTCTGCTCCGAACACTTTATGCCAGACAGCTAGCTACACACAGGATTTGCGGCTGCTGACCGCTGCGGGTTTCTTCACGAAACACGCGTCTTTGAAGAACGATGCTGTGCCGTCGCTGTTCGAGTACCGTTTTCCAACTGCTCCAGCATGAGTGATCGGTTGCTGCAGGTCGCGGCAGCGCTAACTTGCGTACACATAAGGGCATCTTAGCTTTAACAACTTAGACCGCTTGTGGATACCATCTGTCCATCAGTCTCCCATTATTTCTTTTTCTCTTGGTCCGCGAGCAAGAAACAAATAATCACGCTGCGCCGGCACTGACCGCGTCATATGATTTATAGGAGTCGGAATCACTTTTCGGCCGGCAGGTTTATAAACATATTTACAGAGTGCAGCACTTCCTTTCTGTTTTGAAACTCCACGTGCAACTAAGCTGGCTGTGTCAGTGGGTCGACTCAAGAGTGGGGATGAAATCTACGTCATGTCGTCGACGCGCAGCTGATCAGTGTTGCCAAGCTGCTCGAGCTGGTAGTTTCAGTTTCGCGGCGTGCTGCCGGAACGAGACTTGGATATGCGATAGCTGCAGAACTATGCGCACTACCGAGAAACAAATTATATCTCGTGACTCGGGGTCGCCGACTTTGACTAAGCGGATCATAACCCAAAAATCATAAAAGTTGAGTGGTGTTGCCCTTTAAGGCTCACTTTGTAGTGTGAAAATATCTTAGTCCTATTGTCTTTCACTTTGTGCAAGTGTAACCCTCCTAAGGCCTTACCAGCAGTTTGGGGCACAATAAAACATGGTTTGATTGATATTGCTCTCTAATTGCTTGAGGGAGAGTGCTGCGCTGATTCCTTTGCAAGTTCTAGCAAACCAAACAACTTTTCTTTTATAAGTTTATCTTTGTCTGTGTTTGTTTCCTGTGGTAAAAAACAGCCGACATGAATGAATATGTAAAGGGTCGGTCTTCCATCACTGCAAGTGTAGTTGCTTGAACTGGTGAAAAATAGAAAAAGAGGCACATTGTGTACTGAAATAGTAACCAGAAAATGGCCATCATATTAAAAAGCAGTTAACATGAAAGCATTTATAGGTCTACCACACACTAAATACTGGAGGACCAATCATATCTTACTAATTGGTTTTCTTATAGTCTAATGTATGTTGGAAGCTGATCTGTTCTAGAGATCTTATCCACAATTAAAAGTATGCCAGGAAGAGCTTCATATTACCTAGAAGTGCTGCCACATGATCAAGGGCAGATGCAGGTGTTTCCAGGGGGGCTGTCGGCATATTAGCCCCCCTCTTCCTTGCCTTAAAATTTTACACATGCAGAATTCAAGGGGAGGGTGAGGGGGATCAGTACATGTGGACCCCCCCCCCTCTTTATCTGCCACTGCTCGTGATAATGAGAACAATTTGTGTTTGAATAATGAGGACACCTGTTGAGTAATTATTATGCGTGTGGCCATGGCTAAACCTGTTTTACTTATTGCCACCAAGTTGTACTTGCTTATTTTCGCATTAATTCAAACTCGGATATCTCATACTTCTGGTTAATTCAAACAAATTACAAAATTTTGTTTGTCTTGCTGTTTTTAAGGTATTCATGAGCCGCTTAATTCAAACGGCGTTTTCGTGGAATTCATACTTTTTGTTCTCGCGGCTCCGTTGAGTGCATTTCTTTCCGAGTACTGGTGCACTGCAAAGGAGGCAACACCCATGGAGCTTGCTATTGCGTGTGTTGCTTTTCTGCAGTGCACCAATGCTCGGTGAGAAGCGCGCTCAATGGAGCTCAAGCAAGGCACACTTGGGCTATGAAAACGAGCACCACGTGAAAATTTTGATAGCAACTTCCACGGACGCCATGACGTGGCAGCATGGCATAGCTTCACGTCACGACGTCCGCGCAAGTTGCTACGAAAAAACTGCCACGCGGTACCCGTTTTCGCTACTCATATGTCCCCTGCTTAATAGTTCACATTAGACAACTTCTTGGCCTGACAAACAAACTTAATTTTGTTTTGAGTTGTCTCGTGCCGTCTAAGCAGTACACAATAAACAGCATTCATACATTTCACAAATGTTTCATGTGCTTATTATCAGTAGGCCTATATAGAGAAAATCCTCAAATATCTCCTTTGTATGTGTAGCCATTCATATGGTTAATCATAATTGTATGTTGCATCATATTTAAATGAATTTTTAAATTCATACAGAATGGGTGGATTCCTGGAGTCTGAATTATTAATAAGAGTCTACACTGTGTGGTTGGGAGAAGCAAGTGGCAGTTGGATATTCCAAATGTTTGCTTGGGGTTTTAGCGTTGGCATCCAATCCTGCATGTAAATAATTTTTTTAAATAGATGTTTGCACCTGGGCAAGCTGTTTATCATATAGTAAGTTGGTTTTTCATCTTTCAGGAGCAAATGCTAGCTGTGGCACTTGACCGAGCATGTATGTTTGTGAGGAATGGCCAGGACTGCTCTGATTTGTGCCCCACTTTGTCAGCCCTCATGAATGTGGTCATTACGTCATGGCAACAGGCTCCATGCACACTGGAGGTATGTTAGGCTTTTTTTAGCTTTACAGTGGTTTATTTAGGCCCAGAGTGCTGCCTCAAAATTTGTAGATAGTACATAAGCTATATGAAAATTGGCCTTGTATATTGTTGGGGGTCTTTTGGAGAGACAAATTTTCTCATATAGCAGCAATTATCTTTTGCATGTCTGGAAAACATATATTGATAGCTAATGACAACTAGTAATAGTTGTTGTACTTAGAAACATTTCTAAAGAAATGCCACAGCAAGTAGAAGTTCAATCATATTGGTGTGTGTTATTTTTAACAACATTTTTGTCATGTTGTACATGTATCTTAAGACTATTTATATATTAATTTTAATGACTTGGTTAACAATCGCAACTCTGCATTTAGAGACATCTTTAATGTCAGCATGTAGGCAAATGAATGTTAATTAAACTTGTGCCCCATAAACCCTCTAGAGCTCAATGGCCATACCACGGCATCATTCCAAAACAGGGAGACTGAAGTATACACGGTTGGAGCATTTGATGTATGCTTTAAGTACCCTGCCATTGGTGAAATTATTTCTGTTTTGCACTGCTAAGGTTTACAAACTTGGACAAAGTAGGATGATACTCGCACACGAAAGGTGCAACTAACAACTGTTTTATTTTTTTCCTTCCAAACAGGCATGTTTTAAAGAAAAAACACTGAAAAGAAAAAATGAGGGACAGACATAATCAGATCTAACACAGAGTGTCATCCTTCTCTGCTTAGGTTTGTAAACCTTAGCAGCGCAAAATAAAAATAATGAAAAAAACCAACTAGCCCCAATTCAAGCTTCATTGTTGAAGGATTCTATAGCATTTGAAAGGACTCATGCAGAAGATGATATGCAATGCCTATAAGAGGCTTTTGTTTGTATATTTCTTGGTTACATCATTGGCCTCAGAAAATGAAGTAATTAGATTGACTGGCGTTCTAGTTAAAGGACTTGATATGTAGTAGCTGCTATTATAATCCCTCTGGTGGTGTAGCACCACCAGGCAGTAGAAACTCAGACATAGGATTTCAGCATAGTGGACCACAGGAAAAATGAACCTAGATGACTACCCATTCTGCGCATAGGTGCTGCTTTCTCCTGCTGTGACCACGGCATAACAGAATGGTTGATTCTAGTCTAAACAATGTTTCAGGGATTAAACGGTCCATGAAATGAATTTTGGGCTGGCATAAGTGGTTTTAGGTTTGGATTTTACTAATCACATATTCTTTAATGGCCCAAAAGAAGAGGTTAGTATGAAAATTGGAAAATAAAATGGACTATTTCGTACCTCTTTTTCTTTAAAAGCTCTCCTCCTTTTCGTTGTGATGCATCCACAGTACCCAAAGTACATCAGCCGGCCCCAGCTTACGCATTGGACACGAGCACCGCGTCACTTGGACGCATGCGCTCGTCGACAATCAATCTATCAATGAATATTTGGATTTATGTTCGTTTCAAGTGAGTGCCGTGATGGCACTTATTATCATTTGCAAAGGACAAACAGCACTGTGCAAGCTTGGAGTTATCGCATTCCAAAGCCAACGCTGTCGAAGCTGACAATCTGATACCTTATTTCTGCTTATGAAAGCAAAATTAAAAAGATTTCCCAGTCAGAGAATGCTGACCAAGTGTCTCTGTAGCTCAACAGTCATAGACAATTTCACCAGATTTGGGGAACACTGAAAGTTAACCCTATCGACCCGAGATGGCTGGGAGAACTTCCAAATACGGTGCAACACTATGTCACGACCACGTGGTTTCTCATTTTGCGTTTGAGTTGAGGAAAAAAGCTGTAGAGGAAGAAGGTGAAAATAATTTTATGGCTGCTTTAACTCTATTTAGTAAATAGTGTATCTTTTTTTTGTATATATGCTTTATGAACACACTTTTGGGCTCTATTTTTGCAGGAGGCCATAAGTCGTATGAAGCCGCTCCTGAGCCATATGATGCTGTTCTTGCACTTGGAAAAGAAAAATGCGTCGGAAGGACTTTCAAATGTTTGCTCCCAGATCAAGAGAATGATAAATGTGATGTTCTTTCACAGGTTCGTTAGAGAAAGCCGCATGTTAACCATGTCTTGCTAACAGCTATATAATCACAGTAGACATCTTTGTTTACCCTTTATTGGCATCGCATTATGTATTCCAACATTTACCAGATTTCAGGCATACATACACTGCTTCCAAGGTCTGCAAGCTGTCAGGGCAAGAGAGACTCTTTTCGTTCTTGTCACTTGTCATGTTTGCTAATCAATTTTTAATGTAAGGTGTTTTGGTCAGTTTCTATTGGTGATATCAGGAACAGGGGATGTTTAGTGTAGCTAACAGCAAGTTTCAGAATCTTGTAATAAGTTTTTCAGCTATGAGTAAAGTTTTGTTTCTTTCAATGGACACTTTTCAAAAGCTCATTAACTAACATTGACGGTCGCCGATTCTTGCACACAAAGCGTACAATTGGGTCTGAGTCCTTGCTGAACTTTGACGCAGCGCTCGTTTTCGATACAAGCTAAACTGAGTTCATGCCGAAAGCTGATGCAGCCCTCTTGTCTAATGCATACTTGGAGTATGTGCCCAAACAATGGTCAACTCGGATAATTGGCGAGGTAGCTTCTAGATGGCACACGCTTCTGAAACGGGTCTATTCAAAGCAACAAGAGAGAATGGCGAAAACTTTCAGGTTTTCCACTCTGGTGAAGAAGGAAGGCCAGCGAAGCTGTACTATGGTGGGAATGAAGTAACGGCCAGCCGCAAGTTGGCAAGCCAGAGCGGAAAGGCTGGGAAGGCCAACTATGAGCGACGGCGGCAACCAGACAACTGGTTGTTTGGTTGCCGCCGTCACTCTTAAATGGCGGTAGCTGTCCGGAGTGTTGTGTCGACATTTATTTGCTGGCGGACATGATTTTGGGGGGGAAACTAGCCCTTAACAGCTCCCCTGTAATATGCCAACTTCAATTAGCAAGGATGGAACGAGGGCTCCATACCCATAAGCAAGTGGTCTAAATCTCGCAACTCTTAATTGAGCCCCACTCAAATGTTGCTTTTTTACCCAGTCTGGGTTAGTTCTCGTTCCTTGTGAACTTCATACAAAAGAAACTTGTTTATCTCTTGTTGACAAGCACAAATATTAAGATTTTGCAGTGCAGCCTTCAATGAAAAAATTGGTGGATTAGCTGTATGATAATTGGTTTTTATCGTAGTTTTGGCCAAACCCAGTATGCTGTAGTAAAGATTGTGGATATGTCTAATCTGTAGGTGTAGATTGACTACCATATTCACACTGCATGTTTTTCCCAAAATTTCGGGCTATCTCTATATTATATTAGTCTGTTTGAAGTGATGCTGACGTAAATTTGTGATTGGAGGAAGTCCTATAAAGTCCTTTCCAGTTATGTCATTTTATCTGGCAAGAACTTAAAGGGACACTGACAGGATATTTATGCTCACCAAGGTTCATGTGAGAGCCCAACTACCCAGGACACAGTTTACAGCTCAAAATTTGTTTTCTTTCCGCCTGAAAACCGCCGATCGAGTACTGGCCGGTTCGAGTCACGCTCACTCTCTTTTTTTTTTGGTCACAAGCCGTTTTCTACAGTTTAGACACCGCCACCAAAGATAATCATAGTCGTGGCTCATCGAAGGCACAGATTCAATACTAAAAATAGACTGAAAATAAGACATCCATTTTTGTGGACACATAACTTCCGGTAACCTTCTCCTCCTCTATATTTCTTCCTCTCCAGTTCAGTTTTGGTTTCGAGCAGTTGCGTTTTTTGAGTTTATTTAAAATATATGTGACACTGTAGCAAATTATTGATTGGGTAGTCTTCTGACACTATATTGAATTGCCTGGTAAAAAATAAAAAAAAAAACAATTTTTGGTGCGAGTCAGTGGTATGGAAACATACCACTGACACCCGTCACTTAAAGGGGTATGGAAACAAAAATTGAAATATTAAAATTTCGTTTGGAAATGAGTCAAGCATGACGGATAATAACCGTAAATGATAATCACATGTTTGTATTTTGAACGACTGGCTATATTTTTCGTTCTAAACGGTGCACTCTAGCAAGCGCTCGAAGAGAAGCGAATGGAGAGCGCGATGCGTCACGGGATATCCGGCGCAAACAAAAACTGAAAGAAAGGATTCCCCGCATTCGTAACGTAGCAAGGCTGGCGTGGTTATGAGCTTTGCCCTTGGTGGCGTTGTCAGCGTTGTGGTGGTGTAAATAGCGTCGGCGTGTTACAACCGGGCCGTTTGAAGTACCCGTGGGGTGACGAGCATCTGGCTGGCCCAAGGAGCACATAACTTTCACAACACTGTCAGCTTAGGGCTGAACAGGGTGGGGAAAGTAACTTTTGTCCGAGTTTTGAGCGACGGGCTATCTTCTAGGGGGGGAATGGCTGTGTCCGGTTGCACGAACGAGGGTCCGAGAAAGAGGGGAGTCCTTCCTTTCCGTTTTCTTAAATTGTTTGGTACAATGCGCGATTTGTGAGTTGAGGAGGAAAGCTAAAAAGGAAAATGTTGAAATTCCAAAGAACGGCGCTGCTGCGATGGAACTTGCTACGTCATGACTACGTAGCAAGTTCCCCAACGTTGCAAGATTACCTTTCAAATAGGCTCCACATGCATCCACGGGGTGCACATTGAAAGATTGTTTAATTAGCTTCAAAATCAGTTTGCTTGTGGCTTTCAACGAAAGACTGTTATTTTTGAGGTTATGCTGCAACGTGCAACACATTAAAGCTAAAAAATGAGCGCTGGAATTTGGTTTCTGTACCCCTTTAAAGGGGTACTCCACAGGTTTTTTTCATTATCTGCGATTTGCTTGAAATTCTCACCAACAAACATCACTAAAATAGTATCCCAAATATTAGGTCAAAATATGGTTTTTTCGCAAAGTTATTGAATTTACAGTTTTGGTCCTCACCATGCTTTTCAAAGTGAAAGTCTCTACTGGCAACAATGAAAAAGTGACGTCAGTGGGAGGCAGGGGTTCACGCTTTGGATTGTAGAATTTGTTCCCAACTGATATAAAGCAGTTTTATGGTGTCAAATGAATGCTTTGGAAGCTCGCTCCAGTACCCGCACTTCAGCACAGAACAAATGATTGGCTTCTTAGTGAGCGCGTTGGTAATGATGTAGGTTTAGAAAGAGTTATATACGTAAAGACGGGACGGGACAAGACATCTTTCATGTTGTGTTGAAAGTAGAAAGATGTGTTGTCCCGTCCCCTGTCTTTACGTATATAACTCTTTTTAAACCTACAAAATGATTGGTATATTCTATTTTTTAGACTGCTTGCTCGACTGGCAAGCCTGTTTGCCACTGACGTCACAGCACTTAAAAGTGTGGGTATATTTGAATGTTGGTTTTTGCATCATTTTCATTTGCCGATTTCACAATAACTATTATGAATTTCGCGATACTAGATAGCATAGCGGAAAGGTAAAGGCCGGGTAGTCGGAAAATATAGTTAGTTGAGGTAGCTCAAAAAACCTGTGGAGTACCCCTTTAAGTAGTAGTGTTGAACCTCGATTTAACGAAGTCACCGGGACCCGCTAATTATTTCCTTAAATCGGGAACTTCGTAAAATCGAAATTCAAGTATATTTAGGTAACTTTTAATGGGGCGATAGGTAATAAATTCTTTAGCCGTATGTTTTAGGGTGTTCTCTTATTTTGTTACTTCTATCAAGTTAATTATTTTCGGGAGGCTTGGTAATTATCTAAAATGCTGTAATCGTAATTTAAAAGAAAGTGAGTAAACTGTGCTTCATTGTCCCTTGTCCCTGTACCCGCTCCAGTGTTAAAATTACTAAGCTTGGGCCACCGAACAGATATATCTTTAACACAGTCACCTAGTGGCCACATCTGTGCTGCAAAGGCAGGAATACATCGGCATTAGTATCAGCTTTAAATTAAAAATGCATCCCGAGCTCTAGATAATGTCAGCAAGCACTGATATCAGGCGAAAAATTGCCGCTGGCCGAACAATACATTCATTGAAACAAGATACGTCCATATTTGTGCAAATCGAAGTCCATACTAAGGAAGGGTGGAGAAATTTGGCCAGAGGTTATTGTGATCTTCAAACAAAAATACACTACACTTACAGCTTAGAGCGTGTCTTGCTTCTTGCTTCATCATCCCTTCATCAGCATTCTTATCGTGTAATGTTGAAATCTCCTTGACTCGGGAGTGATGATGCAAGAATCGCCACATCCTGTATTTCTTAAATGTTTGTTGACCATGGACATAAAATACCACCAGTGTACTATGCACAAGCATTTTAAGTCTCCCCTTGTGTTTCTTACTCGTGCTGTAGGAGAGGTGAAAAAATTCGGCAGAGGCACTTAAGACTGCTTCTGTGTAGCAATGCGAGAGCATTTTATATAAGCAGCGTGTCACATCTTCCTTCTTCATGGAGCACTCTGGCGGTGGCATCACGCACCCCCGTTGCGCAGGCGCGGCGAACCCTGTCGGCTGCATGACGGCTTTCGCGACAAAGCATCCGTGTTGCTTTGCTTTTCTTTGTGTTTCATTTCTGAGGCGCATGCTTGATGACGTATTGGTGTGTCCATCCTTCGGGCACAACGCCTCCGGTTTTTCGCGGAATGGGTTAAGTAAGGCTTTTGCCTTAAAAGTTTCTAAAAAACCTTCTTGATATAATTTTTTTGATTGATGTAGCATTCATGGTGTCGCTCATGGTTCAAGCGAGAAGCAGCATTGTTGATCTTTTTGCCTTCTTGTTTGCTGCATGTAGTTTCTTACGGTAGTTAACGTCCCACACTGTATCCTTGTACATGACTACAGTAACTCGCTTGTCTGCAGAGATAAAATGAGTGTGTGGCTGGCATGCCTGTCCACATACCTCAAGGAAGAGGAAACTGAGATGCAGGATAAGGCCTCCTGTCTCCAGCTTCTCTCGGCTTTCTTCGGTCAAGTTTGCGAGACTCAGGTGTGTTGGCTATGGTCTTACTTTTGAATGTTTCATTCGGCTATCGCCTTGTGCTTGTTTCCACTTTCCAATACTGCTGTGAATTTTTTTTTTTTTTTAGAGCGCAGCTCCTAGGCGCGCCGTTTCCGGTTTGAGCGGCATCGTTGTTGGTGTCAGTGTAACCGTGCGGTGCTTTATGGGACGCGTGACGTCACTGATGACATCATCAGTGACGACGACGTCATCACGATGACGTAACGTGACGTCACTGAGGACGTCGTCACGATGCCGATGCCGATGACATCATCACAATGACCCCGGTGATGTCACGGGACCCTGGTGACGTCATGTGACCCCCGTGAGGTCACATGACCCCCGTGAGGTCGTGTGACCCCCTTGAGGTCACGAGGTCACGTGACCCCCATGAAGTCACGTAACCTCACGGTCATGCCGACGATGACGACGCTCGGAGCGAGGACTAGCAGCAAGATGACAAGGTGAAGAGGAGATAGGAGGGTTATACCCTCCCCTCAGTACCCTTCCCTCCTTCTCCTCAAGAGCTGCGCTCTAATTCGGTGTTACAGGGAGTTGTAAACGGCTTTCATTTTTTTTAGATATGTGCCAATACTGAGCCTCCTGTAGAGACATTCCTTCCCGAGTTCTTTGCCACTTTCCTGGAGGGCTTCATGGCACACAACAAGTGAGCTTTTGTTTGTACTTGGGGGAGAGCTCTGATAGAATTTTCATGTTTTTTGTTTGTTTTTTAACACTTCATAGGCTTGAGAATTTAGTGTGCATGGAAATTCAGTCTATTAGTAAGTTACACCTGCTGCACCTTGTCAAATTTAATTTAAAGCCTATTAAATACTATTAAGCATGGTTTCAGGTATGTTCCTTTAGGCTTGGTCTTCATTTTAACCACCATGGGACTGCAGTGCCATTATAGGACTTAAGATATTGGTGCATATAAATATCAAAATATTCCTCCTAAGAACTGTAATGTGGTTTTAACCAGCATGAATGTAGTACTAACTAGGATGGATGAGTGAAAAAAAGAGCATTAAACTTTACCTGTTAGTATCTTCTAAAAATACTGCAGTGTTGATATCAGGTTGCATGTACCTAGAGCTCATAAATTTCTGCAAGCCTATAAAACCTATGAAACAACATAGATAATTATTTTATGCTATAATGAACAGCTTAAATAATTTGAATCTTGTAGAAGCCAAACAGCACAAACCAGAAGCTCTAAATATGTGATACTAACCTTCTGTTATTGTTGATTCTTTGCGTGCTTGCATGGCTGCCAAGATAGTGCTGCCAAGATAGTGACCTCTTGACTCTGAAACTAATGAATACTGAATGTGCAGATCAGTGTGACTCATCTAGGTTCTTTCATGTTTTCCCCAGAACTGAGGACATTCAATCCAACGTTGTGCTTCTGGCATACTTCGCTCACCTTTTGGGGATGCAATGTGAGGAGGCTTTTGGAAAAAGTGTGTTCCAGGTAGGATGGATTGTTAGATGGTGACTGTATTGAAATACACTCGTTTGGTAACATTTTAATCAAGTGCTCTACACTGTGTTATGAAATGTTTCATTAAAGTGTCTGTGAAGTGACCTTGAAGACTAGGTTTGTTGCATTTGAAAGTTCAAGTGATTTCAAGTTGTGTGGCTTAATTCCCATAATTTAATTTTAACAATTCACATTCTGTAGAAGCAAAGAGGTTCGATAGTAGAGTGCTAAATATGTCAAGCACAAAACTTTTGTGGTGCTCTCCCTATTACCATACTGTATAGACCCTTTCATCTTAGTAGTTACCTGACCTATGGATAGGGGGTGCTGACACACCCACTGTTATTGGGTGGCTTCAATTCGGTTGGTTTCGGTTTCACGCGTTGTGTCCTTTTCGCTTACTTTTGTGATGTGAATATGTTAGTTGTAGCACACAACCAATGAAACAATGGAACTGAGCCACTCTGAGAACTGCAGAGTTCATGGTTTCGAGTCAAATTTGAGGACCTTTTTTACAAACACCTTATCATGAATGTAGTCATGTTTGTCGCCAAGTTCGTCCAGGTTCGTAGGTAATTTTGGCCATAGTGCAAGAGCAGGTGGACAACCTGAATGAACAATGTGCTAAATTGCGAAAAACAGATGAACTCGCAAGTTTACTGCTTAATGTTTTCTTTTCGCGGACACCAACTTTTCGATAATTTAGCAGGCTCAGAAAGGCTCCCGTAATGATGCAGATGGTCTAAAAAAAGGAGTGATATTGTCTCGGCTTCTTTTTTTAAAGAAATTAATCACTCGAGAAACATTTCGATAATCCACCCTAGGCAGAGAAGGAAATCGGCCCTCCTATTGGCCCATGTAAAGTATTTATTAACTGCATTTCACGATGATTGACAAGGAGGAAATAAATTATTTGTTCTGTGTGCCTTTGCTTGGCGTGCTCAGGATATAAAATAGGTAGCAGACCCATCAAGTGAAGTTTGATATTTATCTTCTATGAAAATTCCCAAATGAAATTAATGGGTGCAAGAGAAGTGACCTCCAGCAAATGCTAGGTGCCACTTCATGATCTTGTGTAGACAAATTTGTATTTACTTAGACTGTGCTAGGTAGGGATGCCAGCATCAGCCCTACTTGGCATCGACAACTATGCTGCACTTGAGTGATTTCCGTCCAGATGGCTTTTTTTCTGAATTATAAACGGGCCCCAGGAGCTTTCAAGTTGTCGATGACAGTCTTTTTTCAACTGGGGAATCCCAACTTTTGTGTTCTTACTTTAATTAAATTTCAATACCCAACAATATAATTAAATCACCTGATTGATTGTAGATACGTGACCCATCAGTGGGTGTAGTTTCTTTAAATTTCTGGATAAACCAACCCAGAAAATGTTTTTGTCGCAAAGACAATGAACATCTAACGCAGTTAGCAATTATTAACGCATTAACGCAGTTATGCAAATATTAGACACAAACGAATCATTTGATGTTGAGGTTACCTATTTCGAGCATAAAATAGTAAACATTCATTGCCTACCTTATATGTCTTATATATTATCAAAAGCAACTGTTTTCGATTTCTTGTGCAAGAAAAGCACAATGCTTTCAGGAAGCGCACATAGTGACTTCATACTATGTTTGTTTTTGTGCAAAGCTAAGTTGACGGAAGTAATTGGCCTTTGAACCCTTGTACTGTCCTAGAGTCATCTACATACTCAATCTGTTTCAGTATTGATTTATCGATTACCCTCTAACCTCCTCACATCTATCCGGCCTGCCGATAGTGAAATTTGTAAAAGCATGTCATAAAACTTACTGCAGAAGTTATGCACATAATAATGAAATTCAGTTAGGGAGCAAAAATAAATCTAACAACCCTTTACAGAGTAAGACAAAAATTCTGATGAGACGCGATGAGAAACTCGAATACAACGGCTTTGTCAAGGCGCGGAGAGAGGAGCGATGAGTTGAAGCCACCTTATGGTGGCGGCGTCACGTGATTTCAAGATGGCAGCACCCATTCGATGGAGGGTGAAAAGGTCTATATGTAGGATTCTGTGTCTTTGGATACAAATATTTCGTCAGTTCGGACTTGTAAAAACAAACACTGATTTTTGAAGTCATGATGGCAAAATGAAAAGCAAAAAGACTACCGTTTATTTTACTAGTAAAGTTAGTCAAAGCACAAATATAACAATCCTAAAAAAAATTATATATATATATATATATATATATATATATATATTTTTTTTTAAGGATTATTGATGAAAGGGAGTTTATCGTTTATCTTATCTGGGTTCCTTCTGTACAAAGGGTCAATCTACTTCTGGGCAACGGCAAAAGCACTCTTCCGGTTTACAGTTTAGACCTATTGTGCTTCTTAGATAGAGGAGGGCTTCTGTTCTAATGACAGTGAAAGATATAAATCTATATGTTTCATAAGATAAGGAGGGCAGCTGAAGCGTTTATGTTTCCTAACAACTACATCCAGGAGTTCGGCTATTTCAAAGCACCGACGTTTATTGAAGCAACGCTTGTTTGCAAGATTTTTTTGTGGGGCAGTTAGTGCTGTCAATTGCAAGGGCACCATTGCCAAATGCAGCAGCTAAAATACATTTTGATACCAGTGAGTTTTTTTTTTTTTAATTTAGGGCACATTTTTGTGGGAACTTTTATTTTTATATTGAATTTTGAAAACCTGGAACACAGTAAAATTAAACTTTGAATTTCTGATACTTTGGAATCTAAGTGATGAACCCCAAATTTCCAGCGAAAAATACATCTAAAAAAAATGCCCTCTGAATTTCACGAGAAATAAACTATAAAAACATGGAACCTTATGTATCTTAGCACACAGAGTAGTGACTGATCCTTTTCTAAACATCTCGATACTGGTTTATTTTGCAGTGAGTGGACAGATTCTTGCTGTCGAGTCAAATTCATGTTTTTTCACCGGCTAACACAATTTTAATTTTAAATATGAATTGCCAGGTAGTATTCTTTTTAAAAAAGTATTGCAATAAAGTAAACTTTTCACATTTCATTATTTTCAATTCCAGCGACCCATATGGCAGCCCAAAATAGGCCGTGTCTTGCCATGTGTCAGTTCAAGGCACAACGCTGTGATTTAAACAGGCAGGCATTGGCTTTAAAATGGTTCGCCCCAATTTTTATCCACTACATTCAAAACCTGCAGTGGTGTGTTGTTTAAGCTAGCCTCCAGAGGCCTGGCCTTCTTCGAGGAAGGATGGAAGGACTGTGTGCTGTCCTACTACACTGATGAACATTGACGAATGCACAACGTCTGGTTCACGCGGTTGCATAGGTCGCTTTCAGAGCGACCTAGGCAACACATTGATACGACAGTAACAACAAAGTCACCAGGACAGCTGCTTGCTGTACACAGCATCAGAAGCAGTGCAGGGCTCACCCAATTCATTATGCCATTATGAGTCGCGCTTTTCCCCCATGGCCCTGTCGTTACTGCTGTTTTCATTGCTGTGGAAACGACCAATGCAAGTTCCCTCGCTTTTCTTTGGTGACTATCACGCCAGCCGCTGCCGACATGCTATCACAGAAGCCACAAAAGACGAGCAGAAATCGCGAAAGGACCTGTTCCAGCCAGTTCAGTGTTTTCCCGCTAGGTGCCGTCCCTCTTTCTGGAGTTGCAAAAATCATGATCAGGTGACAAAAAAGAAATCAGTCTCTTTATTGTACAATGTATAGATCAGGGGTGGCCAGACTGACATATTCAAAGAGTTGTAAAAAATAACCATTTAAGTGAAAAGCCACAAAAAATGGGTTGTGCCACTTTTTGTTTCTTCTCCGTTACTGGTCACAGTGAATTACACTCGCAAAGGGATTGCTCAGTATGTTGCTTTATTCTGGTTCTCTATTCGTAAAACAAAGAACTTCTCCAATGTGTGTAAGATGGCATAAAGCTGACAAAGCTCAAGATACTTTTTTTTTTCTTTATATGCTTTTCCTTTTGATCTTGCGGGGGAGGGGAGGTTTACCCGAGAGCTGCGAGCCGCACTTGGGTCTCTGAAGAGCCGCGAGTTTGGCCACCCCTGGTATAAATGTTTGGCCTTATATTGATGAAAAAAGAAATAGCTTTAAACTTGTTTATGAATATATGCATAACAAATTTTGACGTTTGTCTGTCCTTATGTCAAGTGTACTGAGCGCTGATTCATTGTCAGGTATACTGAGAATACTGTCCCATTAAATTCTAGTGCTTTTCTAGAGCTGTGGAGTAACTTTATGTTAGTAAATTCCAACTTCTGATTGAAATAGTAGACGTGTAAATCTTAAACCGAGTGTTTCTAAAGTATTCTTTGACAGTTTACACTGCAGATGTGGATATGTTAAGATAGCAAAAATACAAGCTTGTTGTAACATTTCCATGGTTGCAGAATATATTGCACTACTGCAACATAATTTCCACTTTTGTTGAGGCTCTAATTTTATTTTTTAGGCCGTATGGCACTCTTTCTTAGCCTCTTTATCGTCTGGGGAAACAATGAAGGTAGGAGAGTGGTAGACACTGCTTAGCAAAACACCAGGTGCAATTTCGAATTCCCCTTTGGGATTCTTTTTTCAAGATGACATTGTGTAGGCCTTCAGTGTTATATCTATCACACTGTCTTTTTTTATCTTAACTTGAATCTTATTTCCTGCACCTTTTTTTATTCACTAAATTATTCAAATGTAATTTTCATTGCAGTAATGCAAGGGACTAACTCCATCTCCCTTTGTGCTTCTGTGTTTATAGGGCTTGTCATTCACACCAGAGCTGCAGCTGTATCATGTCAACTGCCTACTTCAAGTATACGAGCAAAGCAAGCAGTACCACTTGATGGTGGCTCTGCCACAACTCAAAAAGAGCTTGTTCAAGCCCAGGAAGTGGTTTGGTGAATTGGTCCCTGGGCTTCAAGCCATGGGGCATACCAATGTATCGTGGTTTACCTGTTTGAACACTGCCATGAACATTGCACCAAACCTGGTGGAAGGCAGTATGATCAAAACACTCCAGAAGTGTTGGACTGTCCCCAGCTTGGTAGGTGTTCTACTTTGAGCAAGAATTACTCGTTTGCATTTTGTTTCTGGGTCCCGTGACAACACAAATCTCGGACCAGGCTTCAAGTCGTACTAAGTAGTTTCCATTAAAAGCTAATGCCTTTTGTTTGTTCAATATACTATACTGTAAGATCCTGTATGAGTGCCCTCCCCCTGAGAGATTGCCCATGCCATTTTCTGGCTAGATATTCACAGGTTAAAGCTTCTGAAACATTGCCTGCCTCCGATTCCCTTCACACAATGTCTGCCGCGATGTGCAGCATTGGTACGTGTGACAAGCAAGTTCGTAGCAGGTTCCCGCGTGTTTATTGCACCACAGAAACCAAGCTTAACGCGTACGATATTGGTTTTCATGACATGCGAGATTGTAGTGGGTTCTCGCATGTTCGTCACACTGGTATGTGAAACTTCTGTGTCTGCAATGTGCAGTATCAGTTCCTGTAACACAGTAGCCCATAGCAAGTTCCTACGTGTTTATCACACCTTGGAATGCGGATCTGATGCGTCTGCAATATGCAGTACAGTATCAGTTCCCATATTGTGCAGTTGATGACAAATTTTGTGTAAACTTGCTGTCTCATCCCGCTAGGTCGACCACCCAATATTTTCCGTTATTTATTTCTTCACCATAGGTGGGCATTCATACGGAATTTACTGTAGTTATTTGGGTGAAGCCACTAGCATTGCATGCACATGTTGTCAAAGGACTTACTCCCCCACAGGGCAGCCGCTTTATGCTGTGAAATCAGTTCATTGATGCAGCTCCTACAACATTCTAGTATAGTTCAACCCCTGTCACAGTGCCTGGAATGCACCCCCAACTAGTCTGTTTGTCGTTCTGTACCTGCCACACTATAGAGAGCCTGCAAAAAGACCATTTACATCTCGGAGGTTTCCGAATTAATCATTGAGATTGTTGTGATCCCGGTGATTGGTTATAAAGTGACTGTACGGAGAAAGCCCAGGCATTGCTGGCGTTGCACTCTCCAAACCTCTGGCTGCAGCACTCTCCAAACTGGGGATGGGTGCTTCTTAGGTCAACAATATGCAAAGATATGTGTTTTGTAGTATTTTTTTACTCTGATGCTAAGTATTTTATTTATTTATTTATTTATTTTTTTTTTCAAATTCGAGATTGAAGGAGGAGTATTTGCATATTGCAAGATTTGTAAATCCACTCAACTAGGAATAGCTGGGCATCTCTGTAGGTTTAGATTTATGTTTAATCCTTCGTTTAGGTGCTTGCCATTTCAAAGCATCAGACTATCTGAGCTCACAATTCATAAATATGGTTAGATTAAAGTTAGCTTATAAATGTACAAATGGAAGCTTGGGAACAATTTTCACGTGTTTAGCTGGGTTTTCGTTTAAGCATGATGCAACAGTAGGGACAGATTTAGAAAAATTATTCAATATTCAATTAATGCAAAAATATTCCAAAAGCCGGGAATCATAATGATAAAAAAACTGCTCCGACTTTACTCAACAAGATTAACAATTTAATCAAGTCGTGGAATCATGGTTCATCCGAAGTGACTCATCAGCTTGCAACTCCAACCGCGGCCCCCTCCCCGATGTGTACGCGGACTTGCTTAAATAGGACTGTTGAAGTTTTTTTCCCTCATTCCTGCTTGTAGGTTTCACTGACGATGTTTCCTGCATGGGAGACGAAACGTTTGATTAAATTGTTAATCTTGTTGAGTAAAGTCGGAGCAGTTTTTTTGATCATATTCAATTAAGCAATATTCGGCAAAAACTATTACTATTCACTTCGAACTCAAAATCTACCATTTCCACATGACTATTCATTTCAATTTTGTGGCCTATGACACTTTTACTTGAGTAGAATGGTGTGCAGATTTATTACAATATGTGTATAACTTGCTCATGCTTCGCATGTTTTGTTACCAGTGATTCTGGATTTTGGTACTGCAAATAACTCTTGGGGCTTTCTTGCAGGGCAACCAAGATATCCTTAGGGTGGAGGACGAATTCCTTGAGAATGTACTGCACACTTACAACAAGCTGTTTCGCATTCCTAAGCTTGTTCGAAACATCTTCTCTTCACTGAGCAACCCTGAGGCCAAAGCATCGAAGTCCACGTGCATCTCGGCTCGGTTCCTGAAAAAATTTTCTGAGTGCTGCACTTCCCTGTCATCTGGACAAGTAACCGAATCGTGGCATCTGTTTGTCAGTCAACTGAGCTACTGGATCTCCCAAAACAAAGGTGCTTCATTTTTTCCAGAAGCAGCTGAGTACTTTTGTTAGCTCGTCGACTCTTGGGAGGGTGTCATGCAGTGGTGTCACAAGGGGGGTTGGCGGACCGCCCCGGGTGCAGCGCTCAGGGGGTTGTTGCGGGCGGGCCATGAGAGGGGGGGGGAGAGAGAGAGTGAGTCGCGGCGGGCCACGCGAGAGGGGGGGAGGGGGGGGGGGGTCACGGCAAGCTACCACCCCAGGTGCCGCTGACCCTCGTGACGCCACTGGGGTCATGGGTTTTGAAACAGTTTTAGGGAACTTGGGGGTTCTTTGGAATGCACTACTCAGGACTTCCTTGAGCACCACAATTTTCTTGGTTTTCGTTTTAATTGTGTATCTAAACCATGCATGATGCCCAACTCTGAGTTATATCTCTAGTATGGCAGAATTGCTGACAAGGTCTGTAGGCTTTTGAACTATAAAAGCAACAGTGCCAAAGGGGGGGGGGGGGGGGAGGAAGGGGGCGGCAGTTTCTTCAGCTTTCATTCAAGGCAGGCATTTGTTCCTGGAGATAGAAAAGTTGGAAAACGCCCGAGGAAGTCAATTATTGTCAGTAGTTGACAATGTTAAAAAGGCGCTAAATTACTTTTCAGTTAATTTAATGGTTGTAACAAATATTAGAGCATGCGAGGCAGTGCTGACAATGTTTTAATTCAAACAGATTATCTCTTGCTTGACAAGTTGGTAAACATTAAACAAGGTTTAAATGCACATAACACAAACTTGGAGGACGCTTAAGCTTTGCCTTTAAAGGGGCCCTGAAATCATATTTAAGCGTCTACCTTTTTTGCGGTTTCCACGTCTCTTGGTGTTCGGGCAAGCCAGCGGGCACGGAGAGAGTAACTAAATATCAGTGAGTCATATTTTAAATGGACGACGCGGAAACCTCCTCCACCTACGAGCGCGACCCGCGTTGCCGAAAGCGTGCAGTTTGTGACGTTTTTGGTTCTAGGCTTACTACTGGTCAAAGCCGCTAAAAGCTTTTTTTTCATTTGAGACACAAAATAAAAGTGTTGCGAACCGTTTCAATTATGTATGAAAGTACAGTAAAACCTCGTTATAACAAAATGAAATATAACAAACTAATGGATATAACAAAGCAATCATAATTCCCCTTGCTTGCTAATAGTGGGACTATCAAGCATTGAGAAATAAAAGTAATAAAAAAAATTTTGATGGCACTTTCTCAGTGTCATAAGTGTTTTTTTTTTTGTTCTTTTAGTCCCGTCCGGAGCACGCCACCTTCGGGTACATAAACTGTTACATCTTCTTGTCTCTTACAGAGACGAAGGATAGCAAGGACTTTTATAAGATCCTTCTGGTCACTGAAATCTTCATCACATTCCTGCACCACATTCAAGCAGCAAATTCTACCATGCCAGCCATTCACGTTACCAAGGTAACGGAACTCATGGGCACAACATCTAAACTTGCTGCCGAGATGTTGGACTTCAGCATTGAGAACAAGTCGGTAAGTGCGCCGAAGAAGTTCACCCTCTCTCTAAGTCATTTGTTAGGCAACCTCTATCACTTTCTCCAACAAAATGCACAGCATCTAATTGCACCTATACAAACAGGATGTTAAAAAAGTACTTAGAGTTATAGTGCAAGTACTCGCATGTCTATGGCACTTCCTGTGGCGCTGCTCTGTACTTCTAAGATTGAGTACAAAGGGTTCCGGACACAAAAAGAGCTTAACCCGTCTAACTTTCCGAGCATAGTTATTCACTGATAGGACAGCTGTTAAATACTGCATTTGAGCAGAGATTATTTTGGTCTTGGGCCCAATATGAGACAATTTGTTTCGGTCAGAGCGGGAAGATTATGGTTATTATACTAGTTCATTCCCCCCTCTCACAATGACTAGGTGGATTCTTCGTACTGTTCCCTCGTGATGTTTCATGCCTGGGGGGAGCTCCACATGCTGCTCTGCTCCTATCGGCGAGTGTATGGCAAAAGCGTAGCATGGCCCACTTTGCCAGCACCCCTCGAGCAAACTCACTTGACTTACCTGCACCCAGCACTCGCGCCTGCTAAGCTGGAGGCCCTGCAACCCTTGCTGGACAAGGGCAAGAACAAGCGTGCCCTCTATGCCCTGGTGAGGACCAAGATTTTACCATGTTGTTGAAGGTGCCCTTGGGACTTTTGCAATAAGGGCTCTGCAATTTCTTGATCTCAAGGAATAAGTGCACTAAAGGGCCACTGCAAAGAAAAAAAAAAGTTTTTTTTCTAAACGGTTTGGATAGGACACGCATGTCAAAAAATGAATTTCATGCAAAAAAAGAAAAAATTTTAGAGCAATATTGACGGCATGAGATTTATTTTAAATTCTGCGCGCTAAGTTTATTACATCATAGAACGGTCATACACTCTTTCCACCTCAACGACATTCTCATACACTCTCTTCACTTCAATGTGATGGCCAAGCCGATCTACCTCTCTTCCCTGCGCCCGAAATGCCGAGGGAGAAAACAAGTGGAAATGAGGTGACTATTGACTAAATCGCGTCTCGTACCATCATTATTCCTCTAAAAAAAAGTTTTTTCACATAATTTGTTTTTTTTTTTAACTTGTGCCTTAATTAGATTGTTTAAAAAAATCTTTTTTTCTTTTCAGTGGTTCTTTAAGGGAGTCTTACAACAGTAAGAAATCTCTAAAAATAAACCATGATTTTGAATTGTTTTAAATCTATATCTCAAATATAACTGCTCACTCCAATTTCTAAATATTTTTATTTTAAATTGCGCTGCAATCACACAACCTGATGTGTTGAGACAGCGGCAGCAAGGTAGTGATGTGTTTTCTCGCCAAACTGAAGAGGTGCATAGGCAACGTGACATCAGTTTGTCCACTAAATTTAGCGGGAAATCTGAATTGGGTGCAATAATAGCATGACATCAATTTAATTGCTAGCAGGGAAACTGAATTGGTGCATAGGTAACGTGACGTCACCTTTTTTTTCTAAATTTAGCAGTGAACCTGAATTTGTCTGTAGGTCCTGTGATGTCAGTTTTCCCACCAAATTTAGCGGGGAAACTGAATTGGTGCATAGGTCACGTAACATTGATTTTCTGCTAAATTTAGCGAAGAAACTGAATTGGTGCATAGGTCACGTAACATCAATCTTTCCAATAAATTTAGCGGGGAACCTGATTTTGTCTGTAGGTCTTGTGACGTCGGGTCATGTTACATTAATTTTCCCGCCAAATTTTGTGGGGAAACTTTTCATTTACGCTCACGCCGTCGCGAAACCAAGGAACAGGCCACTTACAGCTGCCGCTATAGAATACAATCTGTAAACATTAAGGGACTCAACTTGACGCCTAAACTCCGAAAATGACTATATTCAAGCCGTAGAAGCTCCACAACCACGGAACTGAGTGGAGCCATCTTGGTCTTGTTTGAAAGCTGGTTTTTCACGCTTCGTTTCGGCATACTTTGAATAGGCGTCCGCTTTGAAGCAGCGACATCATCGACGCTTTTCGGAAAAGCGTGAGCAGAGCTAGAGAAACTCTGGTTGGGCAAAGCGCGCGCTCCTCCGAAGCGCCGCTCACCGATTGGCCTTGGCACGCGCTTCCTCTCCTGGCGTCCCCGGCGCGTTCCCTCACGTGCTCCACGGTTTGCTTTCGTTCACTGCTATGCTGCCTTTGCAGTTCTCTCCAGTTTCTATTTGAATATTTTTATTGTTTTCTTTTAGCTTTCTAGTGTTTTTTGTGCCCTTGGTCTTCCTCTCGTCGTTTGCATAAAAAGTTTATTCCTTGACTCACTTTTTTTTTGCTTGGCATTTTATTTTTGTGCTCATTTGCCTGCTTCACGTCTTTGTTCTGTTTTGTTTTGCGCACTTCAATGGCGGGAGATCCCGTCTCAAAGTAAGCACGTGGAAAGGGGAGAGCAGGCGTAGACATGCTTGGAATAAAAAGAGCAGCACATCATTGACAACAACAAGGTCAACTTCGGCAGCACCGCAAGTCGTTTTGCCACATAGCTGAACCAACGAATTCAGCGACACCGCAAGGCGCTTTCTCTCGCTGGTGGAATTGGCCAAACCAAGCTCATGCACTGATTGCATTGAAACTGTATTCTACACGGAGGAGGAGTGTGCGGAATGCAAAATAAACTGCAGACAACACAGACTCTTCGTTGGTGGAGAAGTCGATGACCTCACGAGAGTTCGGGCTTCTGGTTGTCAGCTTGGCGAGCGACAACGATGATCGCAGCACAGAGTATATCATCGTGGAGATGAAAGTGCTGCTGACGCTTTTTGCGTCCACAACATGCGGCAACTGCGGGATAGCCACTGTTGAACTTTCAAAGTGTGACGAGAAGCAGTACGGCCTAGCAGGGTAGTTAGAGCTCGCATGCTCAAGCTGTGATTTTGCTTGCACCACTGTTTGTCTCCCCGAGTCGCCGGAGTAGCCGAGATCATGCCCTTCGAGACCAACTTGAGAGCAATGAGAGGATCCTGAGCATAGAAAAAGGAGCGATTACCCTCATAAACTTCTGTACCGCCTTGAACCTCTCCCGCCGGGGGCTTCACCCAAAAATCTTCAGGGGCACATGAACACCATGGTGCAGGCTTGTCAGGCAGCAGCACAGAAGCAGCAAGTGTACAGGTGGTCAAGGACCTTTACCAGAACTTTCTCAACCCCGTTGGAAACTCAACCCCATTGCAAAACTCGAACATTGCAGTGGGGTGCATTCTCGAGCTGTATTTAGGCCTGGTGCTGGATCACATTGTCCTCTCCAGGCACTGACGTGGCTGCCAAGGGGCACCTGACCCAGATAATGACGGCTATGGTGTCTGGCTTTTAAACCACAAGTGCCTCAAGTGCCCCATTCTTTGACGCATGAGGGTGTTTATGGCTACCTCGACATCTAAAAGAAGGACTACCTGAACTATGTGCACAAGTGGATGGGGACAGCTCTTTGCACCTTGAAAGCTAACCCAAAACAAGATAAAAACAAAACAAAAAAAATCACGAACTACTGCGGATATGCCTTGAGGAGCCACAGGCACAATGTCCCAGGGATAAAGAAGGCGGTTTAGGCGACTTTGTTGCACGTGACGTCGACAGAAGAAGCCCCGGACCACAGCCACTGTTTTGAAGGGGATAACGGCTGGTGTTCGTACAACCATGCACTGGCCAACCAAGAGGATCCACCACCACACTAGAGCCCTCTACTAGGCTTCATTTGCACTGCACTGGGGCCAGTTCAGGAGAGTTCAGCTGTAGCTTCCACCGTGGTAGGGCGAAACTAGCGACATGAGGCGTGTTGCAGCAGAAAGGGAAACCGAAATATGGCACCAGACAAATATCTGCCCGACACTTTTGAAAGATGGCCCTGAAAACGTTTCCCACCCCCCGCTTTTTGTTTTTTTCTTCCCACTAACTTTCTTTTTTTTCCACCATTTACATTTTTATTTTTCTCGGTTTCTTTGTGTGTCATCTCTCAAATTAGCTTGTCGAGCATTGAACAAAAACATGTATATTCTGTGCCGAACAGCTAGTGTCGAAAAACGCACAACCGAGTCTGCGACGGAATGTTGGAATTAGGAGGAAACAAACAAGGTTCATGGCGACTTGTAGAATTTTTCAGTTTTATTTGTAGCCTCAAACAAAGGTATAGACATGTGGGATCTGCCAGATGCGTACCATAAAGTTCCGAAAGAACACCCAGCCAAAATGAAGAGATAAATAATGAAAAATATGGAGTGGGCAATATTTAATAATGTAACAGCAAAATTTTATAAAAAATTTTTGATATGCACAAAGGGTGTAGAGGGTGGGCTGCATTACAAATTAAGTGTAATGGGAACTGATGCCACAGATCACGGGCACGGCAAATCTGAGCTTCACAAAGCGATAAGTATGCGGGAATTCTCTACAAACTCTCCTGTCACAAGGACGGATACCGCAGAACACAAACACAGCACATTCGCACTTCAGTGCGATAAATGCGCAAGAACTTATGATAAACTCGGGCGCCACGGGGAACCGATATTGCGCGTGCAGATTGCGGACAAAAGCGCAGGAACCCGCTACAAACACGCGTGTCATGGGAACAGATACCGCAGATTGCGGATGCAGCAGATTTACGTGTCGCTGTGCGATAAACACGATAGAACTCACGGTGAACATGCTCAGGGACGCCGGAAGTATATTGTGAGTGGGGGGGGCTAAAGCCATGTTCCTTTTTGTCGTTTTTTGTATGATGTACTATTTTTTTTATTTTTTTTACTAAAAAGAATTTAAATATTACGATCTGAGTTTCGTTTGAGAGAAAACACTATCCTAGCGGGTTCGTTTTTGTCCCTTTCACTAGGTCCTGTGCGGTTTCTATTTTCTGCATGAGAAAACAATTTTCTTACGCGGTGCTCCTAATTGCTAAATACTGTATATCATCAAGAAGGAACTGTACATAATAAGTTTTCAGAAATCACTTCTTTATTGATGGGCTACAAATTCATATTAAGGCAAGATGGTATTTTCTCTGTTTATATATACAGGGGAATATCTTACCTTGAGAATCTCCGCTTCCTAGGCATGTACGCTTTGGGGCTGGTAGGAAGTAGCTGGTGATCTTCTTTGGATGGCCAGACATTGCATGTAATGCTGGAGTCGAAGAGACACTGACTGACGCTGACTGCATACGCCTCTGACGGGTTGGACCCTCCCGATGTCGTTGGGAGGGTAGGATCAGCCCCAATGATCTTGGAGCTTGGTGGCGGGCATGTTGTTGAATGATGCTCTGACTCGCTGCTTCTCGTAAACTTCAACGTTTATCTAAACGCATTCAACTTGGACGACCACCTCTCTGGTTCCGAGTCTCAAACTCCGCTAATTTCATTTCTCGCTTTTCGCATCACAACTCTAACTTTCCCTCGCTCTCGAAGGAAGAGCCAATAATTTCAAACCTGAAGATCATCACGTGCTCTCGACCGGACCAGTCGCCGGCAAGGACATCTTGAGACCTTCCTAAACGAAAACAACCGTCAAAGCTCGTCAAATATGACAGAAAGCGTCCGGTCCGAGGCGACAATCTGGCGCCACACATGTCTCGTCGCAGTATCCCCCAAGCTACGACAACAGCAACACC